CAACAACAACAACAACAACAACAACAACAACAACAACAACAACAACAGCAACAGCAACAGCAACAGCAACAGCAACAGCAACAACAGCAGCAACAGCAGCAACAGCAACAGCAACAACAACGACAACAACAACCGCAACCTCAACAACCACAACAACAACAACAACAACAGCAACAACGACGACAACAACAACGACGACAACAACAACAACAACAACAACCACAACAACCACAACAACAACCACAACCACCACAATAACCACAACCACCACAACCACAACAACAACCACGACAACAACAACAACAACAACTACAACCACAACTACAACCACACTCCCCTTTGCTTGGGCCCCTGGCCGGCTGTCGGGCGTAAGCCCTTAAATATAAGATATTGGAAGGCACAGGGACAGAGCAATCCTCTGGCATAACTTAGAGATCCCAAAGCAATGAATGCCTTTGAATCCGGGGATTTCCCGTGGAGCTGATCTCTTTGTCTAGCTTGTTGTCATGTTTCCCAGGTGAGGATAGAGCCTGGAATCAGCCAAATGGTAAGCAAGCAGGCCAGGGCTTTCGATGGCAATATGCATGCCACTTGCCTAAGAGTACAATGAAAAAGGAAAACAAAACCTCTCGTTGGAGGCAGCAAGTTCTCTTAATCTCATCTTCAGAGTCACTGCACCAAAACAGAAAAACAGAGTTGACGCAATGGACAGGCAAATGTGGGGGAACTCTTTGGCTAAGGTGCACAGTGAACGGCAGGGACGTGTCTTGCTTTAACAGCAGCTCTGCCACCACAGAGCCCAAGCCAGCCATGAGGACTTTGAGCGCAACCCACATCAGCCTTCGAGCTTTAGAGAAAGAAACACTGTGGTTTTAAGTCCGTTGAGGTGAGGTGGCTGACACATGCTTAGCTAAGAGCCACCAAGCGATCCGGAAGCTACTAGGTACCCGATACAGGAAAGCTCACGCTTCAAGGAAGCCCTTGCCGCTGACAGCGCGGGGAACTTCCTTGAAGAAGCGCTCGCACAATTCATGTGGTTCCTAGATTCTTCTGGCCAGCATCATCGTTTAATTCTGAACGGTTCTGTATTCCTTCTCTCTAAGGCTATTGCTGTCGAGCAGCCCAATTCCATCAAACATGTGATCCAAGTCTATCTCGGAGATACGGTAGGCAAGAATGCCAAGTGTTATTATGCCTGAGTGTCAATCAAAAAAACTAAAGCAAGCACCAATGGCTTCCGAATGCACATATGCTGCTGGGTTGCAAATATGAACCCATGTTAGAACTGGCAGCGGCTGCCGGAACCTGACACGAAGCACATTGGGCCACTGCTAAATGAATCAAGTGGAACATCTGAACAACAACACCTGAAAAGACTAGTCCACGGTGCCTTCGGAGCAAAAACTACTGAGCGATTTCAAAACTGCCATTCTGCCAGCAAAGCCGAAGTTGAAACAAGGGACAGGATTCTCCACATGATCGGAACGATGACCACACCTGACCTTGTCAAAGTCAGGCCAAGCTGGGCCCTTGACCAGTCCGGTCGTGCAAGTATCTTATCTCACTGCATCTGCTAGGCTACTGCTTGGCTACTTGAGGGTCATTCCACATGTTCTATCCTGCTGGGTGTCAGAGCCTGTTGGCAAAAGCGAGATACTGTCTCTTTGCAAAAGCTACCGTCTTGCAAAGAAGCATGTCATATCCTTTTGAAACACTTAGGTTCTTTAAGAATGTGTGGCGTCTGTGTAAATTGCCAAGGTAGAGTCATGAAACCTGCCATCTTATCACCAAGGCACTGTGCATAGAGCGCATAGCCTAAGTGAGGATCAGTGGGGACAGGCCCGTCTTTCTTCGTTCTCCTCGTCTCCTCTTTGTCCTTTCTTAAGTCATCTCTCCTTGCTCCATGTTCCAGGTTTTTCTTGTTCTTGTTCTTGCTGAAAGTATATACTCATCTTGTTGTCAGTCTGTTGCCCTTCTCACGGTTCACTGAAATTTTGGAGATCCTGCCTTTCCATTCTGCATTTTGCAAACTCAGCGCTTCAAACTCTGTGAAAATAGTTACTAGCTACTAGTTACTTGCTACAGTTTCCGAAGCAACCAAAAAGCTGATTGCAAAATTTGCAGACTGCAGCCACACGTTCAAGTTAATACTAACGAGACCTAAGCCTATCATAGTCTCGTTGAATCTTTGTTACCTGACACAAATATCCGCCTTTTCTTGGCCCAAGAAATAGAGGAAACATGTCAACCATCAACCTTTATCGTGGCTCTCGAGCGTCAAAGGCTTTGCAATCACTGTCACTCTAATGTATAGTCCTTCCAAATGGTTTTGCTGAAAAATATCTTTGACAGGAAACTGCCAGGGGAGAGCGCATCCTGCGCGAGGAAGCTGAACACGGCACCACATCCAAACATGGCACCTGCCAAAGGCTGAACTGAATTGTTTCAGTTCCTGCGCCCCAACCCCCCGGCGCCACGAAATCTGCACTTCATCTCCAAAACCCGCGCCTGCCACGAAATCAACATTTTAGTGTGAACTCCCTGCGGCAAAAAACCTGCTAACCAACCAACCAACAGCCACCTGCCAGCGGCGCCAGCAGCAACCAACCAACTGACCACAACGTAGCATCCCTTTTGTGGGCCATCCGAGGGTAAAATTTAGAATAGGAAGAAGCCTATTGCAACGTGGCATGCCTTTTGTGGGCCACACGAAGATACAGTTTAGAGTTTAGAGTAGGAAAAAGCCATTGCAACGTAGCATTCCTTTCGTGGGCAATTCAAAGGTAAAATTTCCAAAAGGAAGAAGCCATTGCCACGTAGCATGCCTTTTTTGGGGGCCACCCGAGGGTAAAATTTAGAGCAGGAAGGAGCCATTACAACGAAGCATTGTCTTTTTTTGAGCCACCCGAAGGTAAATTTTAGAGTAGGAAGGAGCCATTACAACGATTTACAACGTAGCATTCCTTTGATGGGCCATTCGAAAGTAAAATTTAGAAAAGAAAGAAGCCATTGCAACGTATGTGGGCCATCCGAGGGAAACATTTAGAATGGGAAGAAGCCTATTGCAACGTGGCATGCCTTTTGTGGGCCACACGAAGATGCAGTTTAGAGTAGGAAAAAGCCATTGCAACGTAGCATTCCTTTCGTGGGCAATTCAAAGGTAAAATCTAGAAAAGGAAGAAGCCATTGCAACGTAGCATGCCTTTTCTGGGCCACCCGAGGGCAAAATTTAGAGCAGGAAGGAGCCATTACAACGAAGCATTTCTTTTTGTGAGCCACCCGACGGTAAATTTTAGAGTAGGAAGGAGCCATTACAACGATTTACAACGTAGCATTCCTTTGATGGGCCATTCGAAAGAAAAATTTAGAAAAGGAAGAAGCCATGGCAACGTAGCATGCCTTTTGTGGGCCACCCGAGGGTAAAATTTTCAGCAGGAAGGAGCCATTATATTACAACGTAGCATTCCTGTTGTAGGCCATTCGAGGGTGAAATTTAGAATAGGAAGGAGCCATTACAACGCAGCATTAGTTCGAATTCGAATTCGAATCGATAACAATTTTTACACCCCGGGGGGGAACCAGTTCGAGTTCGAGATCGAATTCGAATTCGAACCGACGACAGCGATTTTGGAGTTCGACTCTTTCTATTCGTCCACCGGGTTGACTTCTACAGTAACAGTTCCAGTTCGAGTTCGAGATCGAGTTCGAGTTCAAGTTCGGTTCCATTCCATATATCCTTTCAGGGTTGAGTTCATCAATAAGTATATAACTGTTTCAGTTCGAGTTCGAGTTCGAGTTTGAGCGGGGCACACTATGCTCCGTCTCAAGTATTACTTCCTCAGTTGCCAAAAGTTTTCCTGAAAATCACGAAAAACTAAGTAATACGCTGCAGTCATCTTTAGAACCCGTGATCTGGGAGAGTCCATGAGAAGCCGGCCTACCACACTGAACTTCAGCAGCCGGCGAATTTGAAAGCATTCTTTGATGAGCTCAAAACCTCGGCCCGGTGGGCAAAACACCTTCGCTTGGTGACAACAAAGAATTGAGCCATTCGCCACCAACCTCGGGCAAACAAAGCAAGGTGCACAGCTTCCCCATGTTTTATTCTTTGACCAATGGACAAAGGTGTGCTTCAAGGAACAGCATCTTTTGTTGTGCTTTCAAGATGATCGTTCAAGTCTGTTCTGGGCGTTTGGCCTATTTATTTGCAAATGCATCTCCTCAGCATTACAAGCCCATCACCGAAAAGTTGGAAGGAAGTGCGCATGTCATGAAGCTCATTTTGTTCGACTACCAAGTTGGTCCAAGTTGCCCAATAGTTGTAACCTCGCAAGTGGGAATTTGACAAGACACTTGGCAGCCAGTACTTGACAGTTTGCATTCATCAATCATCATAATGCATTATATAGGTTGTCTGCACAGGGTCAGACTATCCAGCCAGCTCCGGAGAGGCTAAGGTAGACACTGTAGTACCTGAGTGCAACTCAGAGGCTAGAAATGGTCCCCAGAACGCTTACAAAGCAGGTGAGGTACAAGATGAGCCCGCATGTCGCTTGCAAAGATAATGCGCAGCCTGACAAGCGACATGCGACCACATCTGAATGCATACCGTAACTCTCGTACTGTTGGATGCCAGCCTTTGGTAAAGCTCTGTGGTTTGCACTTAAGACGACCCGTCGGCACGTGCACAACTGCCTCGAAGGTTGGGGGAGGAATGAAAATGCAAAGAATCCAAGAAAAGTAACAATGCCGCGCCCCCCTTTGGTTAGTTGAGTCCAAATTTTGGAGTTGGGCCAAGGAACTTTCCAGGAGCACTGGCTGTCCTCTTTCTCCACGGCATCTGCCTTGCCAGCGGCGCTAAGGGGTGCGATGGCCCTTGGCAAGTAGACCCAAGAAAAATCCCCAACAGCCGGGTCTGAGTTTGCTGATCAAGCACGGGCAACATTTGGCACTTGTCAATAAAGTTGCGACGTTTGCAAGTTTACAAACATGGCAATACGTCAGTGCCTATCTGTGCCAACATCACAACATCGCAACGAGCCAACACTTTACTGGCATCTCTTCCGGAACCGGCCTTGGAACCCGCCACCAAGTTAGCACAACAGCACGACCCGATTTTCGCATCTCATCTCAGCATGACAACGTGTTGGCATGTTAGCAATTGTTAGCATCACCCCAGCCAGTATGACAAAATGTCAGCACCGCTGCCTGACAACTTAGGTAACTTGCTGGCGTGACATGCCAGCGTATCAGCATAAGAGTTACAATCACGACGCGTGCTGGCAGAAACTGCATGGGAGTCTGACGGCATGTCAACCAACATGTCAGCATAACAACAGACCAGCATCATGCCGTGTCAGATATATACGCCATCTATATACCTGCACAGCCCCCCGGTGGCAAGATCTTCCCAAACTCCGGAGCTCCCTCCAGAACCTGGTCCAGAGCTTCGGAACTTGCTCCGGAACGTGCTTCGGAACACTCTTGCTCCGGAACCCCCAGACTATAAAAGGGACCCTTCGCTACGAAATTGGGAGAGTGTTGGACGCGGGTCCAAGTCGCGGAAACAAAGGGCAATCATAGGCAAAAAGGGAGAGGCAGTAAGAATGCAACCTTTTTGTGGGCCGAACAAGGTGAAACCCACGAACCCGACCGCGCACTGGAAAACAAAACGGCGAAAACAAGCAGCCAAACATTGCTTGACGCTCTTGTAAGACACTCTTGTAGACGGTGCTCTTGTGGGATGCTCTTGATGGACACTCTTGTAAGAGACACTCTTGTCTCTTGTGGGATGCCCTTGTGGCAAACTCTGGCGTGAGGCTCTTGTGGGACACTCTTGCGGGACACTTTTGTGGCACACTCTTGTAGGAGACACTCTTGTCTTGTTGTGGGCCACACTCGTGCAAAACTCCTGTGGGACACACTCTTGTAGGACAATCTCGTGGGCTCGCGTCAGACACTCTTGTGGGACACTCGCGCGCGACACTCTTGAAACTCTTGCAGAACACTCTTGCGGGACACTCTTGTCGGACACTCTGGATACTTTTGTGGACAGTATTTCGGAATACTGAATACTCTGTGCGTCACTCTTGTGGGACTCTCTTGCGTGACACTCCTCACTCTTGTGGGACACTCTTGCGGGACACTCTTCTGGGACACTCTTGTGGGACAGTCTTGTAAGACACTCTTGTTGGACGCTTTTGTGGGGCACTCTTGCTTCCTCCTCAAGTCTCCAACACGAGCGTTTCGTACGAGACTTCCTCCAGCTGCAAAGCAAGCGTTTCGCGCGAGACTTCCAATACTATCACTCGCCGCTCGCGTCGGACGGCCTGCTCGATGGCATGCCGGACACACTGGTCCATACATGCACGGGAGCCTCCTCCGTACGCACGCACGCTCACACCAAAGAGAACTACCAATCAACGACAGGGATGGACCAAGTCTCCAACCTCCTGTCAGCGCCAATCCCACGCAGGGAAGCAAGAAGGATTAAACCAGGCGCAGCACCTACAACGTGTCCTTGCGGAAGGATGCGGCCACAAGCACGTGGCTTTGTTGAGTCAAAGACTCCAGGGAACGGTTGCGCGGCCTCATCCTTGCGAAGGGCCAGCGTAGCTTCTCGGGTCTTGCTAAGCTATACACGCCCCGAAAGGTAAGAGCTGTGCTCTGGGCAAACCGGAAACCGCTGGCATGAAAGGTGACTGCAAGTTCACAAAAGGAAATTGACCCCTCTTTACCTACAATCCATCGAGGCTGCCGCAAGGAGCAAAGAACTTGTTCCCATTCATCAGGTCCACGTTTCCAACCTCTTGGGTGGGGATGATGCGATGAAGTTTCGGGAGCCCACCTAGACTTACGCAGCAGTCAAAAACATCTGGAAGCTCCTCTGGGCATTGACTTTCTTTTCAAGTTCACCTGTAGGGAGGAGGGCGTGAAGTTGCGTCAACCAGCGCTGACGGCGAAGAATCCCACTTTCAGCTTCTTTCTGAGCCTCCAGAAATACAGGCGACAACTTGCGCGCCAATTATTGCTTGGCAGCTCTATCAGCAGCCCTGTTGTTGCGGATGTGAAGAACAGTCATGCTGCAAGCGGCCGCCTGCTGCGCTGTAATGAGCTCTCACGAGCTCAATAGGCAGGCGTTCCAGCTGATGCGCTAGAATCCATTCAGCGCGAATCGGCTGCGGATGAAGGGTCTTTCCACGCTGCGCAAACAAAATCGCAGAAGTGTTTCCGCCAACTTTGACGTCTTCATTAACCATCAATACGCCCGGCGGTGAACAGGAAGTTCACCTGATCCACTGCAGATTTGCAGTCTGAGAAACTTCCCGTTCTTGCTCAGGAGGAAACGCATGCCTGCGTGATGGCCCACACTTCTGTGGTGTATGACGATAACGCACAATGTGACACCTACCTCTCCTCCGTCAAGAACCACACCTTGGCCGTCAACAATTGCAACGCGCCAGCAGTGAGCCCGAGATTATTCCCGTTGGTGACCGAGCCATCAGTCCACCGTTGCACAAGAACGCTCGGATCAAAATCCCCAGCAGAAATCAAATCGTTGGCAGGTTGTTGCCAAAGGCGGCGTCTGACAACAAATAGGGTTGCTCAACATGCCCCAACGCGCGAAAATTGCTTCCTGGCTGATGATGAACGGGTTGGTCAATTGAATCAAAGAGGGCCCCGCAACCCTGCGTGAGGTGATTCACGCAAAAGGTAGATCCGGCACACCGTTCCGTGGCAGCCATTCTATCGTTGGTCAGGGCGCAACCAACAACGACCGACTCAAATCGCATCTTTCTGAAAGAACTCCACGGGGAGAGGGCCCAATTTCCCGAAGTAAAGAAGTTGTGCGATAGTGGTGCAGGATTGCATTTGGGGACAAGATGTCTTTCCTTGGTGTAGTAGTAGCCATTCGGCCGTTCGGTAGCATGCATTCCGGCGCATTGCAGGAGTCTTGCGGCATCTTTGCGGGGAAAGGTCGCCTCGCCTAGCGACATGGAGGTCGTCTGAAATTAATTTCTCTGAAGTGCAGCACAAGCATCTTTCAACCGGCTGGCTAACGAGTGGGGCAGCAAATGCGCACGAGGCATAGTGCGTTGGAGCCGATTGAACCAAAACACGGTACGCACACGCGAAGAAAGGGTCGACCCTATGCGGTTTGGCAAGGGTCGCAAGAACAAGCCATTTGGACCTTCAATTTTGGTCGACCCTTTGAAAGGCGCTTGACAATTGTTCCCCGGACGCTCTCAAGTGAAACGAGAAACACGCGCGCACCATGTATAATTCTTGGGATGACTTTGGCGCCCAAAAGGAAAGGCTTCGTTTTATGTTGGGTGGGAAGACAGCCACATTTTCAACGTCAATCAGAAGTATAGATCCTGGCGCCAAGAACTTCAAATCACTTGGGGACCTCTTGGACAAATATCTCCACAAGGTCTCCATTGATCTCCAGCGTAAATCAAATCTGTTGGTCTTCGGCTGTTGGTCCGAAGTGACGACCCAGGTGTGGAGACCCCCCGCGCGCTAAGTGCGCATGGGCAGCGCTGCAACACCAGAAGTAGCCAGCGTCGAATGTACGACATTGGCAGCATCGGTGGCTGCAGGCCAGCCAGACAACTCCACGGTGAATTTGGGGATGACACGCATATTGTGAGCCAGGCCTCTGCGGGCCGCGACAATTCCAGCAAATCCAGGTGTTCCCTAAACCGCGACGCACATCACCGGCCAGAAACAAGGTAGCACTGACGCGTCTTGACTGCCACGGCCTCCATGTAGTCTCTGATCAGGAGGTTGGTTGGGCCACTCGCCTGGAAGTGGTTTCCTTACCTTGACACTGCGTTTGTACTTCCTGCTTCGCGGCACCTGGATGGCGTGACGCGCGATAACCATACAGAGTTGCAGAACTGCCGCGTGGAGGCAAGCTCCTGCAGCGTGAGCTTGAAAGCTGCAATTGGGGAGTCCTTGCGCTTGTCCAGATCAGCTTTGGTGACCAGACTTGAATCAACTTCCAACACCAGTTCTGCAATGGTCGGAGTCGTAATCTTGAACTTCGCGTCAGGAAGTTGAAAGCGAGCTGCGAGCTTTCCCAGAGAAAACGATCATTGAGCGAGCCATTGTAGCCAAGCTTCGCTGTCAAATCATCGATACCTCACGGGCCCTCGAGTTTGGGCACCAGGTGAGGCAGCCCAAGCGAGTCAGTGGCAGGAATGAGGGCGCTCAAATTGATCTTTGACAGCTCTTGAAATTACCCCGCCTCGGTCTGCTCCAACCTGAAGCCGGTGGGTCTGGGAGAGCTGCTTATCTGACTGGTCCACAAAAGGCAGTGGGTCTTGCAGCACTAGGTCTTCCCGCTTAGATTGCGTAGGACGGGGGGATCGGTACCCGGCGGTTGCGCTGAAGCATGTTTCGGCTTGGTCTTGGCGCGCGGGTCAGCTGGTGTCATGTCTGCATCAGCACCAACGGCGCCTCCAGACCTCCAGCTAAATACTGTTGCTGCGGTTTTCGAGGACTGATGAGAAACCAATTCCTCACAATTGAAGCAACGTCAATTTTAAAAGACTGCTTCATCGCGAATGGCTTCGATTTGGTCGGCATACTGGTGTTTGTGCAGCATTTGCAGTTGAGGGTCACGAAGTAGAGACACGTTGAGGCCCAAGCGATGAAAGAGCTGACCCAAAAGACGGTAACCGCACATATCCAATCAAGTATCCTGATCAATGTAGTCAATGGGTACCATGCATGTCTTGCTCGACTTGCGCCACGCGAACAACATGTTCCAGCAAGGGATGTCGCCGTTGTCTCTGAGAGTCCGGGACCGTGAAGTAAAAGTAGCACGGTCAGGTGACTGCCACATTTCAATCTGCAGCCAGCGATTTCCACTGACAATCAACCATATAATGCGTCTGCACGTGGTGATGTCAGGCGTGTAGTGGTTGATGTATGTGAATTGGCCATGTGAATTGGCCAGAAATGGGATACCAGACCGCCGGTCAACAGAAAAGTAAGTGTCTGGGGGCGATGATTCCGAAGGAGATCGAGCGCGTAGTCGATCTCATCGGATGCTGCCCATGCTGGGCGTTGCTGGAAGTGTTGCAACCAGGCCTCAATGTCACTGATCTGCTCAAGCTGCGCAACTGTGGCTGGTTGTGTAGGAGCTTGTCGTGTCTGCGCCAAGGCAGCACTCAAAAGGCAACCTGGAGAGCAATCTGGCGGACGGGGCCCAATGTGGCGACGCCGTGCGATATGCCAAAGAAAAATTCTTCCGGAGTCTGATTGCAAGTTGCACAACTTCTGGCAGCATCTGGTTAGCGCGCCACTCCTCAATCAAAACTGCATACAAATCTGCATCGCATTGACAGCAACATAGTTCTTGCGGCAGCGGATATTGTCCTTCTTGATCGGGGAAGGCATTCTCCAAGTGAAGGCTGGAAACCCATCTGTGAAGCAGCAACCGTCCGCACAAATTAGGTGGAGTGGGATGACCTTCACTTTGGACAGTAAGTCGGCACAGCGCTATGTCAAGCAGCGGCGCCACAATGAAGGCGAGCGTCACTGCCTCTGGCGACTCTGGCGCGACTTGGAGGAGTGTCAATCGTGCTTGGCCACGCCGGTGAATCTCAATTGCAATACAGCGGCGTTGCATCAATGCGCCGGTAGACTCCTTGGTGAAGAGGTGTGCGCGAATGGCCTCCCTACGAGGATCATTGTTTGCAACGAGTTGTTTCATGGATGGAGACGCCGGTTTTTGCATCATTGCGCGCGTGCCAAATCCAAGCGTCTACAAGTATATATATATATATGTATATTCGAGTACCCAAGAGCACGCGCAGTGACATCAGCTCCTTTTTGTTATTGAACAACAGAGGCTTGCAGCAGCTTGCTCCAGTTGCGTTTCTCACCCAGGCTCCCACGATTGCAGCAGGTGGCCACCGCCAAGCCCCAGGCCAGCCACGATCACTGCCGGCAAATGCACGCACCGTGCAGAGTTCATGAGCAACGCCCAAGGGTGGTTGGCACCGGATCAAACGCACGCCATGAGACTTACAGCGCCCATCATGTGGGGCCCCAGCCAACCTGACTTCGAAGAACTTGACGGTGAATTCCAGATCGTCAACAACTCTACAACCGTCTTGCCCATGGCTCCAAAGACCTGGGCCGCTGATGCGTCAGTGTGGCAGTTTGCGCTTGGAGGTTGGAGGCAGCTTGCAACTTTCCAGAACCACTCAGTAGTGTGGATGGTCTCAAAGTCGTCACAAGGTTCCAGCACAACATGGGCAATCTGCGTCAGCTCCAGCGCATCAGGAATATAGATGACCTCAGTACGGTTCACGCGGCAAAACTTGCACGAACCGATGGGAAGACCACAGGCCATGATCTCCCAACACTTGCAGCGGCACATGTTCCAATCCAAGTGTGATTTATTGGATTTTCATCAGGGGCGCGACATGCAAATTGGTCAAAAAGACTAGTAGGATCATGAAAGACTTGCGTCACTTGGCCACGAGTCATATGTTTTGGCAGGCGAACGTCGAAAGCAACAGTTTTATTGATCCGTTGAGTCGAATGTTTTCTTGGCGCTGCCGGTTTGCTTGGCGCTTGGCCGAGATGATGTTCCGTCGATGGACCAGGTGGACAAAGCTCTCACGCTCAAACAAGATGAAATTGTTGGATGTGAGGCGTGAGCTCCATGCCATCTTGACCGCTTGGAGAGGATCCAACCTGGTGTGATTGACTGCGCGCAAGGCAATGGACCTGGCGAGGATTGCACGCAGGACTGATATTGAATTACCAAACCGTGTGAAAGCAAGCTGCACCTTAGTCGACAGGATACAGTCGTCTGTTGCTCCCAAGGAGAGAGCAGAACCTAGCTGGGTCAAAGAACTCGAAGCCTCGGGCTGCGTGCATCAAGAACGTGACCAGGCTGGCACACGAAAGCAATAGCAGCTATCATTCCAAGGCGTTTTGAGAATCGACTTGAGGTGGAATGAAAGCCCAAGGCAAATGGAGAGCCAACGCGGCCTGTCGGAGATGCCCTGGTAAGGTGTGACTTGCATCCACGTGTTTCGGTATCCTGAGGCAGCAAGAATGGCTTCAATCACCTTGAAATGTGGGCTAAGTACTGCGCCTGCCACGAAAGTGACGACATGACATCTTCATGTCTTCAGCAAAATTTGCACCACGCCACACGCTTGGAATGATTTCGACACGCACATCCACCCAGCAACAGCCTCAAACGCAAATCCCACTGTCACAGCCCCACTCTCACAGCCAAGGAAAGACGCTGCACCTGCGCAGCAAAATCATCCTCCACATTTCAACATGTTGCGTTTCCATACGTTTCCACGCTATTTAAAACGAATCTGACACGTCATGCTTCCATCCAAAACCTCCTCCAAAAGCTCCCCCCACTGTCAGCGCCAGGCGAACGGTTGCGGTCGTTACGACAACGCCTCGTGAACAAGGCTCTACCCCCAGACCAGACTTAGGGGAGTTAAGCGAGAACCCTTCGCTCCGCATTCGGCAAAAAAAAAGGTAGCCACATAAAGAAAGACATAAGAAACTACAGTAGAGGTTTGACGCGACATGTTACTTCCTGCGGCTGTGATTTGGCTAGTTGTTGCGGAAGCATGCAATAACCTGTTGCTATGGTTTGCATCCACATGCTGAAGGCCCCACCTCCTTGCTAGGCTCGAGGCGTCTGAACATTATGGCCTGCGTGTAACAAATAGAAACAATACCAAAAAAAGTCTTGTTGCTGCGCCCTGTGCTTTGACGCATTGCGGTTTCAAACCGTTTAAGAGAATTATGGCAACAGCGCTGGGCCTCTTTGGGCTCCTTCAACTGCTTGGCCAACGGTGGAGGGCAACCGTCTGCACCATGTAGCGCATGTGGAGCGTTGGCCCCTTCCCAAGGAAAGCCTCACAATTTGCTAAAAGGGCTCACAGCTCGGCTTTTTCCAAAGTGAGCCCATGTTTTGTCATCACCAGACCATGACACAAATGGTACCCAAAGGGACAGGGCATCACCAGCCGCTAGCTGCTGAGTGAATCAACCGTAGCCAGGTGGATCGGTTGGGTTCAATTGTTCAATTCCCTATTGATGTACCCTGCTTACGTGGGTTACACCTGTCTCTTAGTGCAACTGCAGGGCGCCCTACAGCAAACAGTTTGGCAGCAGCACCATGAAAGGGCAAGGTGTCTGTCTGTCCCCAGCAACAGGCTCCTTTACGGTCGCAGATCATCGGTTGTGGCTGCCCCCACTATCCTACGCCCACTACCCACGGCCGCCAAGGCTGCAAAAAGCTTTAGGATCTCCCTAAACACACGAAGCAAACCCACAACGTTCCAAGCAGCCACGTCTATTAGTGAGAACCCAGTCCTCAGTCCAAGGCTATGACAGTCTGAATTCACACCGTCTGTCTCTCGTCTCAATATTAAAATCTCAGCATGGCAAATTTGAATGCCGTGTGACATGCGCAAACAATGCCTTTGGAAATCCATGATCGTTTTGTCGCTTTGCAGGGAGAACAAGACTAAGATTGTTGCACAATACCGAATTAACACCAAGCATCATGGACTGCTTCACAGTTTGGTCCATCAAATCGAACCTGTGCATCTTTGTACCTTGCGTGGAGGAATCATGAACACCCATCAGGTAGCGACGTAGAGTGAGCCAAGTGACGCTCATGTCAAAGCCAAGATGCACATTCTGCCACAATGCCACACTGGAGTCGAAATAGAGACCAGCTAGCAACCTAGCTTTGAGATAAATTCCGATCCACATGTATATACCTGGTCTCTCTTTTTATGCAAGCTGCCCGATTTAAGATCGTTACAAGTGTTGGGAATCAAGATACAGCATACCCAAGCAGCCGGCAACACCGCCAGAGATACTCGAGAAGGCTGATCCCCTGCCACTATGAAACCAGTCATTAATGAGAGCCCGTATCTTCCGTCTTCATCGCTGTTCACATCCATTCACATCTAGTCGATGTGCTGTGTAGTAGTAGGAGATTAGTTTAAGTTCTCTCTACTTTAAATTAAGAGGTTGGTCTATATAAGTTACCCAAGTGTGTGTGTGTGTGTATGTCTGCATCGTATATATATATATATTATGTATAAATTAAACCGTATTAAACCGTTTACATGAACAAATATCAGTGGTACTGATACTGTGGTTTGCTCAGGCTCATGGAGCCATGAGACCTGCACTTTGGCCGTGGGGCTCGGAGTCAAAGGACTCAAATCCTCCTAATTGCAGCAAAATTAACTGTTTTTAATGCCAAAACATTTGACAAAAGTATCTCATATTGTTTGCTCTGGCAAATTGCCTCCACATGAATGGACCATATTATTGAACCCAGGTCCTTGGTCATCGAAAATTGCCTTAGACGAGGGAATGCTGTCTATCTCTGGCTCTGCACAAACACTTTCTTTCAAACGAGGGTTGTTCACACAGCAAGAATACAATGTCTGTCTATGTGTTGTAAACTGAGGGTGTGGCTGCTGGCTTGTGTTTCTGCGTGTTTCACAAAAAAATACCGTCTATCAATAGCTTTGTGTTAAGAAAGATTGCTCTTGGCGGCATATCTCCGACTGTCCCTGCAACAATCGTTGCTGAAACAGCTGTTTTGAAGGATTTATGGACAGAGCACATGCATGTTGTTGCGCTAATCTTGTGTACAGCACTATCGCTTAGCCTTGATCCACATAGATGTTATGAGCCTTTCTTCCTCCGGAAGTATTGTTGCCCTACTAAGGTGTGTTGTGTGGGTTTTGAGTGACGCCCGACGACTTGGAGTTTTGGTTGCCGTCATGGCAGTAGGTCTACTCAAGATTTCTTTTTCGGTACACCCCTGATTCAACCAAATCTATCCTCTGGGGTTCAATAAATTCCAAGCTGCAGAGCTGGTATGGAGGATCTCAAAGACCTGCCAAAGTGGCATGAAAAGGATGCTATCTAACAAAATGCATGCCTCTGTATTGATAAAATGTGCTGCACTCCTGTCACGTATGTGGGTTTGGGGCATAGGAACTTGGGAGCTAGCTCGTTGGCTCATAAATCGACTCGCAGATCTGCTCCATGGCAGGTACCACGGCCACGGCTGAGACTGAAGGCCTGTTCAAAGACACCCTAAAAAGGCTTCAGAAAGAAGAGTGCCCGGCCCGTTATATAATTAGTGAGTGTGTTGATATGAAAACATGCACAGAAAGCGTGAGCTGCTTTACAGCTTGATTGCAGGTGACAAGTATCATTGAAGAACAATCAAGAAGAGCAATGCGTGTATACATTTGGTAAGCTCAAAGACGGCTGACTCCACTGTTCCAACTATCGCAATCGATATTTCTGAAAATATGCATGCAAGGCATGCCAAAAAGGTGGCCTGATTCCAGCCAAGTGGGTACAGACTCTAAAACCTGAAACCTCTACATCCTACGTCTGTACAATTTCTCCTCTGTGACAGACGTAGAAGACGTCTGTATGACTCTATCTCTTCCCAACATTGGGAGCAGCTGATCCGGCCCACAACTGACGCAGTTCATTCACACGAGCTTCAGCGCGCTTTAACTCACTCAAGGCAATATCCATCTCCTGCCACTTTCCCCTGTTTTGACTCATATGTTTTCTGTTTCTTCGCAGAAACATCCAGAGTGGGCAAGCCAAATCAAACCATTCCGACCAGCCAATTGACAAAACTCTCCAGCAAAAACCAGATTGCCAAACCTAGGGCCAAATGCCTTGTCAAATAGATATCAATTGAACGGCTCCTGCTCAAGGGACGGCCTGCTTCCACCGCCAAAGTGGCTGGTCTGAAGCGGCACACGGAGCAACCAAACTCTCACGATCAGATTCAAAAGTCAACTTGAAAGAAATCGGCCAGTACCAAGTGCAATGCACCCTGCTCTGACCGCAAAACGGTATAGTCATTATACAGTATGAGGAACTCAGAAGGTATGTCCCGGCTATCTCAGGCCCTTACGCAGTGCAGGACTGCCTCGTGGACAGTGTGGAAGCGCCACTCCTGCAGCATGTTTCTCTACTACTTAGTAACAAGAAGCTACTAGTAGCAGGGGCATCGCTGCTATATAGTAACAAACGGCATCGCTACTAGGAGCAAGAACGCTATTAGTAGCTCCTGGCATCGCTACGAACGGAGCAAGAACGCTACTAGTACTTAGTAGTAGCTGTATGAACCAAAGAAACGAAGGCATGATGTGCCTCTCCAAGAGAGTCCAGCAGGCCGAAGCGTTCAAAGGCTCCCTCCAAGCGCATGCTGATGCAAGCAAATGCCACTTGAACACCTGACAAGAGGCATCTTGAGGCTGTAATGACTACATTGCACATCTTCTCCCACTCCAAACGCACCAAGGAATTTAGGAATTTCGGCAACTTTGCCTTTTTCCCGGAAGTTTTGGAGCACATCACTCAGCGCCTGCCAGATGGACGAGCAACACAAAAAAAACTGTTCATCACAACACGTTTCTGTATATAAATATGTGTGTGTGTGTGTGTGTCACACCCCGTTTCCAGGAATCTTCCACCATTTGTTTCCACCATGAGCAGGGGCAGGCCCATCGTGGATACCTGTGCCAACGAAGCTGTTCCACGATGGGGGGATGCCGAGATTGATCACCTCCGCTGGCATCACGGCCACTAATGCCACGGCTGATAGTGCCCACCAGACACCAGCAACTAACCGTTCTCGCACCCCAACCCGACGCCGCCATCATCGAGCCCTCACCGTCGACACCATCGCAGACACCATTCCAGCCATCGCACATCCCACAGGCACCATCACCGCCATCACCGTCGCAGACGTTCACGCTCATCCACACCGTCTGAAGACTACGCGCCCACCACTTCACCAACCCCTGAACAGGAACACCACCTTGACACAGGGAGCTGCGACCTGTCATTCGTGCACAACGCACAGACCGCCACAACCTGTCCACTTCCCACCTGGTTTCAGTCAACAACCGCAACGTGAATCAGCTGGCCGAAGTAACGTCCCTAGCCATTCCTACATCGCCCAAATCCTCATTGACAGCCACCTCGACCTAACTTGCACAACTTTCAACAATCACACACATCGACACAGAGCAGTCGTCGAGGGCCCGAGGAAAGCCGGGTCAACCTAGCTGGTTGGTTTGCTGCAAGGCCTGCTGTAACGTTTGAGCCATCTGCGTCGTCATGTAGTAGGTAGAAGCAGCACTCTGGGCGCGGCAGCAGCGGAAGAGGGCGCGAATGGCATTTAGGAAAGATGCACTTGCCGGGCGTGCCATGAATTACGAGCGCGCAGGTGAATTATTTACATCAAGCCCCACCGGCGTCACGACATGCCAGTAAAAGATGGTGTTGAAGCTAGGTCCGATTTGGAAAGGACAAGGAACCAACAAGCTCAAAAGGTACATCGCACGCTCGCGCAAAGAACGATAATCAATTAGAGCAATCTGTCTCGCGCGAAGCGCTGATCTCCTTTTTCCCAAAAGCATTTCCGATGGTTGGGTTCTCGTTTAGTCGCTAGTGCCGCGGAAGAGCGGCGTTGTCGGGGACGGAAGATGAATGTGGAGGACGGGGTTGGGAAGGGAAGAGGGAGAGGAAGGAAGGGAGGGGAGCGAGACGGGAGGCGCATGGGTGGGGACGGGGCTGGGGAGGGAAGATGGAGGGGAGCGAAACGGGAGGCGCATGGATGGGGACGGGGCTGGGGAGAGAAGATGCTGTGGAGCTGGGTTGGGACGGGAAGCGCAAGACGGGAGGCGCATGGGTGGGGCTTGATGGAGGTGGACGGGGCTGGGGAGGGAAGATGGAGGGGAGTGAGACGGGGCTGGGGAGCGCATCAGTGTGGACGCTTGCGGGGACATGGTTGCACCACAAGCATCATTGCAGGCTGCTCCGGGAGTGGACAAGCAGAACGAAGCATGGGTGGGGGTAGTGCTGCTCCATGCTTCGCGGAAGCACGTTGGGAGGTGAGTGGAGCTGTGTTGCGGGGCTTATACGATGGTCTTGGGTGTCCAAAATGTGCGCAATGCGTGCGACAGACAGCCTAAGTCGTGGCCGAAACGGCAGGATTGTTGCGTCGAGCGCATGGTTGCACCACAAGCATCATTAGCGCACAAGTAGAACGAAGCATGGGTGGGGGTAGTGCTGCTCCATGCTTCGCGGAAGCCCGTGGGAGGTGAGTGGAGGGGCTGATACGATGGTGTTGGGTGTCCAAAATGTGCACAATGCATGCGCCAGACAGTCAAGTCATGGCCAACACGGCAGGATTGTTGCGCGCCAGAAGCGCAATGCGTGAAATCCGGGCGCCGGCCACGCGCCCGTGTCCTCGCCGGAGGTCTTCGGCGGTAACCGAAGGTTATTTAAAGGCTTGCGCCTAACAGCCGGGCGCCGGCCCACTTGGGTCTGTGTAGGGCTGGGTCGGGCGCACGTGAGGCTATCGGGGGCATACACTGGGCCCTGGTGGTGCCGGAAACTGGTCCGCGTCGGAGCCCTATATTGAGCAAAGTTAAGCTATCTGGCGCGCATCTTGGCCCTAGGTTGGGCCAAGTGGGGCCCATGTGGTCTATGTTGGGCACATCTGGAGCCCATGTTAACCCTACGTTAAGCCTACGTTGGCCTATGTTAGGCCTATGTTGGCCTATGTTGGGCCTATGTTGGCCCCATGTTGGCCTATGTTGAGCCATCTTGGAGGCTATGTTGGGCATATGTTGGGGATATGTTGGCTATCTTGGGCCTATGTTGAGGATATGTTGGGCAATGTAAGTCGTCTGGAGGGCCTCTACCCACAAAATGTCGATTAAGCCTGTCCGCCCGGCGCGCATTACCGACACCACCCTTGAAAAACACAGCATTTTTGCATTTCTCCCTATTCCCCGCGTCGTACTTCGATATGCGCAATAAACCCTGTAAAACACAGTGTTTTTTATACCTCACACACACGATACACTGTAAATTACAGGGGCATCAGTGACCCGGTGGTCTGCCCGTTTTGGGAACGAGGGTCGGCGGCAGCCAGGGCCAGCGTCTATAACCTTCGGTTACCACCGAAGGCCCTCCGGGCATGCCACGGGCGTCCTGGCCGGCGCCTGGATATACGGGCGCGCCCCCTGCCGCCGACCCTCGTCACCAAAACGGGCGGACCCCCTTCCCACTTCCTGTTCACTGAAGCCCCTGTAATTTACAGTGTATCGTGTGTGTGTGAGGTATAAAAAAACACTGTGTTTTACAGGGTTTTGGGCCCCTCGGCGGCCGAGAATTTCAGCTAGGCGATGTCATAAAACGTCGGTTTTTCCATGGGTTTTGGGTTGGCGGGAAGGAAAATATCGTAAAAAGTTGCGTCGGAAGATTTTTTCAACATAAATTGCCTAACATATCCCCAACATAGGCCCAAGATAGCCAACATATCCCCAACCTATGCCTCACGTAGCCTCCAAGATGGCTCAACTTAGGGCCAACATAGGCCAACATGGGGCCCAGATACGCCAACTTAGGCCCAACATTGGCTCATTGGCTCAACCTAGGCCAACATAGGCCAACATAGGCCTAACATACGCCAACATAGGCCCAACATAGGCTCAGCATGGGCCCCAGATGTGCCCAACATAGACCACATGCGCCCAACTTGGCCCAACCTAGGGCACCAGAGAGCTTCACTTTGCTCAATATTAGCCCCACTAAGGCCAACAGAGGTGTGACAGACGCCCCACAAATACCACAATCAGCGAGATGGCTTGCTAGTTTCCGGTTGCACCGCCTCTCTCGACTTTCGGCTTCTGCACAGAGAAGCCAGGGCAGTCAGCCTCCTCCAGGTTGGAGGATGCTGCTGGGATGCCCCATGTCCCAGCCCCCGCGCAAACCTCTGTTTTGGCACGCTTTGTTTGTCATCAGCATTTGTCTGTGTGTGGTTCACTGCGTCTTGGTGCGAACTGTGTCGCACATTGAAGTCACTGACGTGTTGAACCTGATAAGACAAAGGAGAGAGCAAACGCCATCCCGCGCGTCGAAGCAAGCGGTTTTTTCTTTTTTGCGGGGCAAGACTCGGTGTTTGTTCGGTTGGCGAGCGCCACACAGGTACCCATGCTGCCAGGGGACCCTTGGTTGGACGCACCCTCACTGTTCATTACACGTCTGTGCCCCGTGGCCTGAGCGACGCTCTCGTCCCTCGGACGGGCGCTGCCGGGGTGCCCCAAACCCCGGCCCCGTCTTCTCCATAGACGAGTGCAGGGCTTGCTCTCTTTCCCACGTGCGCCGGCGCCCGGCTGTCAGGCGTAAGCCTTTAAATTGGATGGTTGGAACGAACCATGGAGAGGGCTGACGCTGCTCCATGCTTGCTGGAACGGTTGTCAGAAGCCAAGTTGCAATCGTTTTATGACCGTTTTGGAGGGCTTTCAAAACTGACCAAGGGGTGGACAGGGGTGTATATGGCAGACAGGGGTGGACGGATGCGCGCCAGAACCGCGATGCTTGAAATAGCATGGTTGCTGCGAAGCCTGGCGGGGGCTGATGCTTCGTTTTGGCCTGCTAATGTGTGTTTGTTTATTTTTCCTGGGTTGTGCGCTTCTTTTTGCTTGTGGGTCCGCGGGCTCACCTTGTTTCAATGAAAGGTGTCCGGCGGCACGCCATCAGCAGCCCACACTAATTCCTTAATTTTTCATAATGGCATTATCCGGCTTTATTGCCCAGCAGCGGCCGCGGGCATGATGCACAGCGCCGTGTTGATCGTTAAGGAGTTCTTGGGCACGGGCGCGGTTCTTGTCGAGGTGCCATGTTTTGTGCAGGACGCGCGCTTTCGGTTTAGGGGCTGCTTGAGCACAAGTCTCCAGACCATCATATACAGTAAACTATTTATAGAAATCCCAAATCAGGAAATCCAGCGTCTACGATACTTTCTTGGAGAAACATCCCCTACTACTGTACGATACTCCTGGTTCTTCAAAATGACCTTTTGATAACCTGGTTTGAGGTCACGTAACCCCACTAAAGGTCACCTAGCAACCTTCAAAAGGTCACTTTGAAGAAGCTGGCGATATGTTTCCGGATAAGAAAACATGTTCAAGTACTGTTGATCTATCTTGACATTCTCTGTCTCAAATCAACCGATCTCTCTGATCCGCATCGCAGTCTCTCCTGTCAGCTCGCCCAGCGCGAAGAACCTCGAGAGCCTCGAGAGCTGGTCCGCCCGCAAAATCCCATGGACGACTCGCTGGGCCACGAGCGGTAAAAGTCTCCTCCGGGCGTATAGCCTCCTTTATCTAGCTTCCTCTGCGATGTCCACCTTGCAAAAATGATCTCCTTAATCTTCACCGGTTCCTGGGCTGGTCTTGCGCCTGCCAACCCGAGCTCGCCCTCTTCATTAAGGTACGCGAGCCTCCATTTCACGCGAAGACTTCCTACTTTAGCGGTGAACGCCAACTTGGCCCTGCGCAACATACACCTGTCATTGAGTGACCTGCCCCAAAGAGCAAACCTTTTGGCCGGCCAAGATGAGGGAGATCGGGCGTTGTGTGGTGGCTTCACGTCGCGGTGCAGGTGGCGAGAAGGCCTTGCGGGCCAAGGAGTGAATTTGGATAGCGTAATAGCCCACACCACCGCCCCTTCCCTCCCCACGCTTCCCACGCTACCTCAATCACACTGTCACGCAATCCCCCACCTTCCCAGCGTTCAGACACCGACAATTCCCCAGCTCCAAGCGCAAACCTCGCCGTTGCAAGCCAGCCCCCACACCCCCAGTCGACCGAGACTGGGATGAATGGAGCGCTGACCCATGACGTACGACCTGAAAGGCAACCCCGCTCCGACCCAATTGGCACTATGTTTCCTGCCTTGTCGACGCTGCGCTCGAACATCCCATCCCAGAACAGTTCCGCAACGCCCTGCGCCGCCTGCGATTGCCTTCGCGCAGCAGCATCCTCCCCGCCAGCAACAGATCCCACATCCACATGCCTTGAGTCTCCCTGGCATCGTATCGCCACCAAATCCAGCAAAGCAGACGACCATCGTCTTCCAGCACCGAAGACCCACGCATCTCCACGAACATTCCCCTCTCAAGAAATCCCGCCCTGGACAGCCTTTTCCGGCCAACCCTGAGTCTGTCTGGACACCCACATACACACACAGTCCAAAAGTACGCAGCTTCCTGCCGACGGTTTTTGAAAAAAGGCTTGCTGCAAGCCTGCACTGCTATGCGGCGATGTGTGTGTGTGTGTGTGCGCGCGCGCGGCGTCACACCCCGTATCCAAGAATCAAATCTTTAAGATACAATCTGCAGGGGGCCATCCCTCTCACCAGTGGTGGATGGCCACCGAAGAGGCCACTGGTGAGGGCTGTAAACAACTAGGGAAATGGTACTCGACACTTGTGCGTCGGCGCCTTTCCTTCTGTTGTCCCTGTTCTAGTCTACTCTACCCGGGCGGTCACGCTCCCTAACTATTGCACGGCCGTAATTCAAGTCCACTAAGTATTCAGTAACTAGTCGTAAAGGGCTAATGCGAAACAAGATGTTGAAATGTTTCTGTTTTGCTGACTCCGCCACCTTGCTGTTCACTCTTGCCTTTCCTCGTGGATTATGATACCGAATGAACCTTTATCTAAGTGTGTCTCCCTGCGCTTTCCCACTTGGGTGCGGAGTGTGATCCCCGTCGCAGGGCGCCGAAACCATGGTGTACCCCACATAGATGGACCAGCGGACCAGCGGACCGGCGGACCGGCGGACCGGCGAACCAGCGGACCAGCCGACCGGCGGAATGGCAGACCAGCGGATCGGCGGATCGGCGGACCAGCGGACCAGCGAACCAGCGGACCAGCGGACCGGCAGACCGGCGAACCAGCGGACCGGCGGACCAGCGGACCAGACAACCGCACGATCATAAGTCTCACGTACCTGCAGTTCTCATTAGGGTAACAGAAGGAAATGGTACTCGACACAATTGTACGTCGGCGCCTTTCCTTTTGTTGTCCCCGGGCGGTCACGCTCCCTAACTATTGCACGGCCGTAATTCAAGTCCGCTAGGTATATATTCAGTAACTAGTCGTAAAGGGCTAATGCGAAACAAGATGTTGAAACTTTTCTGTTTTGCTGACTCCGCCACCTTGCTGCTCACTCATTCCTTTCCTCTTCGAGTGAACCTTTATCTAAGTGTGTGTGTGTGTCCACCCCTGTCCCAAAGGGAACTAACCTATCTAGCTTTTCTTTCTCTTCCGTCGTTTCGCGTTTGTACAGAAGCAGGGGGACATGGCGTGCGTTCAGGGACCATGTCCAACGAAGCTACCTGACGCGTGGGAAATGAGAGCTGATCACTCTCACGTACCTGCATATTTGACCGACTCAGCAATTTCTTTGTGAAGGTCTAACCTGCAGCAACACTAAAGCGCTAATGCTCACCGCGAATAGTCTGAAACCAAGCTCCACGGAGCACTCTTCTCAAGTGTGATTCGCAGCTTCTTCCCACTGTGGTAAGCTGTGTGAACCCTGCGGGGCGCCGTTACTGAGTTGAATTTCTTCTCCTCACCGCAGGAGTACATTTCCTGAATGCTTTCTGAAGTTTCACGCTTGAAATTTTTGCTCGAAGTCAGATTGTCTGAAGCGTTTCACCAGGTACACGTGAAGCTTAACTGCAGAGTCCACTGTAAATCACATCTGAATACTGTTTCACCCCAGGAGACGTTCCAATTGTTTAGCTTTCGCAGAATTTTATACGCGCCTCTCGGCCAGTGCCTACGGGCCCGCGCCGTTCGCTCGCAAGAGCACTCACCCCACCGGCACCCCCTGCACCTTTTCTTGTTTCTCCTTGCCTTTTCGTTTGTCTTGTTCCTTCCTTCAGGCTTGTTGGGCGCGTGTGATCCAGGCTCGTTTAGTCGACGCACGCCCTGCCCCCCCCCGCACCCCCTGCACCTTTCTCTTCTTTCCTTACTTTTTCGTTTGTCTTGTTCTTTTCTTCAGGCTTGTTAGGTGGCATCCAGGCTCGTTCAGTCAACGCACGAACGAACACCCCTCCACACCCCTGGCAAGAAAAGAAAAAAGAAAAAGAATAAGCGAAAAGAAGCGGTCAAGCGCACTTTGCGCTGCAGCATTGCAGCCATCCAGAGTCTTACTAATTGCACCGACACGGCTCATTGTGTGTGTCCACCCCTGTCCCAAAGGGAACTAACCTATCTAGCTTTTCTTTCTCTTCCGTCGTTTCTCATTTGTACAGAAGCAGGGGCACATGGTGTGCGTTCAGGGACCATGTCCTATAGCTGATCACTCTCACGTACCTGCATATTTTTTAACCGACTTTTCACGTCTCACCCATGTTGAAACCTTCTGCTTGACCGACTCAGCAATTTCCTTTAGTCAAGGTCTAACCTGCAGTAACGCTAAAGCGCTAACGCTCACCGCGAATAGTCTGAAGCCAAGCTCCACGGAGCACTCTTCTCAAGTGTGTGTGTCTGTCTGTGTCTCTGTGTGTGTCACACCCCGTTTCCAGGAGGGGTCTTCCACCATTTCTTTCCACCATGAGCAGTGGGCACAGGCCCATCGTAAGTACCTGCGCCAACGAAGCTGTTCCAAGATTGGGGAAGCAGAGATTGATCGCCTCCGTGTACCCGCTTCGAGCACAATGACTTTAATGGCACACTCTGCTGCAGGCTGTTTCCCAGGTTCACCAGGTCTTCTCCACCGATTCGTGTTTTTGCGCTGATCGCTCGCAGCTAGCCTCCGGCTTCTGCGTTGCAATCCATTGTTCAATCATCTACAATTTGATGGACCCAGCATTCTTGCGGTTTGCACTAATTAACCAGTCAAGAGAACTGCATAACTGAAATTATGTTCCCTCGCCGGAACTTTGAGTCTAAGTGTGGAAACCTTAGAGTCACATGTGTGCGCGTGCGCTTGTAAATCTGAACATTTTGCGATGAACCTGCATGAAGACTCTTTTTTCGAGCAGGGGCCTAGCGGCTGACTTCTCTACTACTCAGCGCTCACTAGCCAACAGAGTGGATGAGGCTGTGGGCGCAGAGACTTGTATGGGCCTGAGCACTGATTGTTGCGCAATCACGATCCAATCTGATTTATATAAAGGTTTTTGTAAGCAGAGATGTGGTATTTGGAGAGATGCTTCCAGAAGTACCATGCAGCGTCGTTGAATTCTTCATTCTGGACAGAGTTGTTGCGGATATTTCTTGAAACCGCCTGCATTACTCAGGCGTCTTTGAGCACTTAGGTTGGTCGATTGCCACCCCACAGTTTTCCAATAACTCTTTTTCCATGTTCCCCGAGAGTGATGAAATATGGAAAACCATTGTCTGAAGCCTCGATGGCCGAGTAGTCCGCTGTTGTAACCGGCGTGAAGTCGAGTACAAGGTAGTGAATTCTACCTAGAAAACAATGCACACCAAGAAAGGCACATGTAAAATCGTCTGTCCACGCTGATCTGCTCTGTCTCCTCTATGCCAAACAGTAAAGGTACGCGGCGCGTCGGTTCAACTTTGCCAAGATGCTTATGTCATTCATGTCCTTGGCATTCTACTGAGTTGAATGCAGCTGTTCTACATCCAGCAACAATGCTAGGCAGTCAAATGGAACTAATCTGCCATGTTCATGCACAGTGTTCTGCTGCGAGACGGGGCTCGGCAATCAAAGTTCGTAGGGTTTCTTCAACGTATGCAACATTGGCAAAATATAGAGAAGCACCAATACGGACCTTGCTAGTCAAAAACAGGAGGCTGGACGTTGGTCTTTCTTGCATTCTCATGTCATCCATAGTTTACTGTTCTGTGGTTTCACTTGGCCTTTAGAAACAACAATTCTCCTGATCCCACCAGGAAACATCTAGTAAGCGCAGCAGCTAGCCCTCAAGGCTTGGGAAAGTTAATTTGTTTTCTTCGCCTGGCAACGATAAAAATTCCATCAATAAATGTGCCATCAGCATCCTGCTGTTGAACAGGGCGATAGCCTCGGTCAAAGTCAGACATAGAAAAGCATAGGAAATGAGAAAGTGAAAAGGAATCAAGTTCCACAACCAGCACTCATGCTAGCCCATGGACGAGCACTCATCGTAGCCCGTGGACGAGCATTCATTAATTGCCAATGTTCCAACTCAGCAAAAACGTACAAGTGTTCAAATACGGAGAGTTGAGAGTTTCAATAAGCCCGCCAAGTCTCCACAAGTACCCTCAATGCGCCAAAGAACCCTAGGCAGCAAGCATTGGGACAGCAACAATCCCTCATCTAAAGTGGAAACCGCAATTGCCAGTTCATTGATTCAAGAATCTGAATTTGAGGATGTACGGACTCATAGATGACCACAGCCAAGGAGAGCCTGAAAGGTTGCTGAATACTGAATACCCAGTTCCACAAAATGAAACAGCACATGTAGATGGGCCCTGAATTGAATGCCTGATGCGAGGCAACTGTTGTTTGCAAGACGGGGTCCCTTCTAACATGTTGTTTAGTCTGTGCCCTTGGTCACAAACACCAACGCAAAAAACAAAATGAAAGACGCGCTCTCCACAAGAGCAAAACGCGGACCTCAAAGGTCCAAACACGCCGCGTGCCTTTTCCAAGGCCCAAAGTCTCGAGCTCCACCGCTATGGGGAAAGGGTTCAAAAAGGTCATCAAGAACAACATGAACCGCATGCTCACATCGGTACATCCTCCTGACCTTTTTGGTCATGACGAGGGGGGATACACCGGCGCCGGCTCATCAAAGTCCCATGGCCAATTGTGTTTGGCCGCAAGTCCTCTCAGAGTGCCAACAAAGTTGGCCTGCTCGCGCCACTTCTTCTCAAGCGCTCGCTTGTGGACTTTTCTCCCTGCTTCAAACTTGTCGTCGTGCACCAGCCGCCAAAACTGCTTCTGCGAGAAGAACTGCAAGATCGTCTTGCGAGCTCCGAACTTGGTGAGGGAGTCCCCGAGCTGCGCCAGCCCATTCACCCAGCGAAGCTCCGTTCCAGCTCGAAGCGCCTGGTTCACCGCCAAGGTGAGCTCGTATCCAGCCCGCGAATCCCTCAATCCGTGCAAGGATGAGAGGTTCCGCGTCATCGCATCGTAGATGCCGCGGGAGTCCATGACCACCGCTCCTGCCGCCGCCTTCACGGCATCGTGAAGCTTGTCTCGCTGGATTTTCGTCCCAGCGAACTCCGAGAGCAGTAGTCGGATCTGGTAGTTCTGATCCTCAGACACGGTGATCGCTTGGACTTCTGCACCATTAGAGCCCAAGCACTGGCGCGGGGTCTTTCCGCTCTTCCACTGCACCAAAGCCACTTGAACCTCTTCTCCAAGAAGTGCCTGGCGGGGAGCCACTCCAGATAAAATGCAAGCTGCGCTGCACGGTCATGTTGTGAAGCGTCAGCCCATGTGATCACTTCCAGGTCATACGATGTTCCAAGTCGAAGGGAAAAGCAATCCCTGTCCGCTCTCACGCTTCATCTCTCTGATGAGGCGATTGACCTTGTAGAGGGTCTCGATGGTCGCCCGGTTGATCTCGCTCAGCAGCAAGGAGGCTTCTGCGAGGTATTGTGGGCCTGTTTGCGTAGCCCTCCAGCTCACAGTGCCAAGCGCTCCTCTCATGGCTGAAATCTCAGCCGGAGTGAGAGGTGTCTTCCGAGCCTTCTCCTTGTCAATCTCCACCTCCTCAAGCCATCTCGTGGAGTACTTCTCCTGGTTCAAGATAGATAATGCTCAGGTCATCCATTTGGCGGATGTTGCATCCGGCGAACTCAAAATCATCCTGCTCCCATTTGCCCCATCTGAAGGCTTCGGCTAGTGCCTTCTCTCGGGACATGTAGTGCTCAGAGTCCACCTTTCCAGCCAACAGGAAGTTGTCCACGTGAATTCCTGCCAAACCATGGATCGAAGATGAACCATCATCACCCACCTGTCGGAGTACGAAGCAACACTTGTCGCGGAGCAGTTGAGTCCATCCGGTGTCCTGCATCACTTGGACACATCGTTCATACCACTTTCGTGGCGCGTGTGCCAAGCCATAGAAGGCCTCGCGAACTCGAATAAGTGCTCGTTGGTCGCCAGGATCTGCACCGAACATAGCTGCCAACTCCGGAGGCGCCATCACATTCAACTCCTCATCCTCCAAGCTTATGCCAGTCTGCAAAAATGCACTCGTCACATCACCGGCCTTGACCTTCATCTTCAGGGCTGCAGCTAACGTCAAGATGATGTTGCGGCCGACCTTGGACATGGTCGGCGAGGCTGTGGCCAGCACCACCAAGCGGGCCTTTGCCGTCCCGTCGCCCTTCCTCGCGAGGACCCATCGCATCCTCATCAACTTGTTGAAGTCTTGTTCTCCTTGGTCGTGAGGTTCCTCAAGGCCTTACTAATGACGACCTGGGACAGCTCCTTGGCCATAGCCATGTCGAACTCCTTCTTCTCAGCCATCGACAAGGTGTGCCACTCCACCTTCATCCTGGCTCGTAGTCCGCTCAGCGCATCCCATAGATGGCTCATTCGGCTGCGGACTCCTTCTCCTTCTTGCCCTTCCGGGATTTGGTCACCGCGACCTGCATCGATCTCCAGCGGTGTCAACTGGGATCCCGTTGCCGGTGCTGCTGTCGACTGTCGACGGGGATGTCACCATCTTGTCCGCCTTCTTCTTGGGCTCGGTCTTGGAGGTCGGCTTGACTGGTGAGGTGCTCTTGGGCAGCGGGGTCTCCTTGGAGGTTCCATAGCCCTTCTCGCTGGTCCTCATTGTTCCGCGTGAAGAAGAGCTCATCAGAGCTTCGCCCAGCTTCTCGTCCGCTCTCACCTGAACCGTGGTCCTCCCATGACCGCCATTCTCCGCCAAGCTGCGCCCCTTCAACTCCATGTGAGCTTGCCGTTGAAGATCTTCTCGTTCATCTCCTTGGCGTGGTACATCTCCCGGAGTTCTGTCTGGGCAATCTCTACCAGTTCTGGCTGTGGTCCAATGGCTCGGGTCTCGCCGGTACCACTGCCCTTGGTGATGTACCGAAGCCGCAGGCCGCATCGGCTGCAAGCTTGCCAGATTGCCCATTTGTTGGAACGGTCTCGGCCCGGCTGATGAGTGCCCACGCATGGCCATCCGACATGGCGTGGATCTAGGTCGTGAACCGGTGGGCATGCCTTCATTCTCCGACTCTTTCGAAGGATGGGCCTGTGACTCACCAAGTTGTTGAGCCAGTGAGCTGAGGCGGTCACGAAGAGATGCTGTGTCCGTTCTTGTCACAATCAAAATCGATGACACACGATCAACGGGTACAGCCGATTGACATTCGTCATGCTCATGTACCTCGTGTCCGCCTGATGCCTCAACTCCACTTCCATGACCACTGTCTTCATGCTCATGCACATGTCCGCTGACTTCTAGTCCATGTTCAGGTCCACATCTTCTGGTCCACGCTCATGTCCACTGTCTCCATGTCCAGCACCATGAACAGCATGCACAGCGTCCCTCTCTTCAGGTGCAGGAGATCGAAAAATGATCTCATCCAGTCTAGTCTCTCCAGGCGAGTGAACATGTTCAGAGGCATTTGGAAGGACCATCATGATATCAGGTTCAATCGGTGAGGATGCTGCCACTGCACCTGTTTCTCCGCAAGCCGCGAGGATGAAAAAGGTCGTACAGTCTCTTCCGGCACTGGTGCCACCTCAAGCTCAGGTGAAGCAGGCGCCGAATTGGTCAATGTCCGGCTGCCATCAGAACTCGATCGACATGGTCTTCAGGCCTGATCGCACCAACAGCAGCATCTTCACGATGAGCATTCCACATAGAAGCCCTCAGCAGATCTCGCGCAGCTTCGAAGCCAGCCTCATTGCGAGACCGCTTCCTGCTCCGACCGTCAGGTCGAGGGCCATCATCTCCGTCATCTCCATCTTCATCTCCATTGTCCGGTTCATCGTCACCGGGAGGTCGTGGTCCGTTCAACTGGTTGTTGAGGCGCTGGATCAAGAAGCGGAGAGGGGTCCGAGGCTCCATCAGATCTAGAATCAGTCAATGTCAAGTGTCCTCCACCTCGGAAGTTCGTAAGGGTGTTCGCCCGCCAGTTGCCAGTGATCGGACTTCGATGGGCGAGGTACTCTCCGTAGTAGGACACCATGGCCTTTCGTGCACGGAGATCGCGAGATCCCAGAAGCATCGGTGTTCTCTCGGCTCCACCATCCAGCAAATAGAAACTCACTCTGCCCACAAAAGGTGTCGACAGGTGAATCTTGGACACGGCTCTCTGACATTCTCCGTTGCCGAGCTTGGCCTGTCGTTCAAGTCAATCTCATACGGGATCCCGGCCGCGTCAATCAGCCGAGACATGCGTCGAATGCCAGCCACAGACTCCGTCGCGCCGGTGTCCACGATCGCCTTCGAGGTGGCCAGGTTGTCCGATGACTCATCCTCGGCAAGCGACAGGACATACACCTCGGGGCACCAAGCCTCTCCGTCGTAGTCCACGAAGTAAGCAGTGCCCTTCTTGCTCTTACCAGACTTGCCCTTGCCCTTACCAATCGGTGATCCCCTCGAAGATGAAGGTGATGAAGTTGAAGAGCCCTTGCCCTTCCCGGAAGACCACCTGTCAGGACACTTCTGGTAGCCATGACCTGTCATGCCACAAATGAAACAATGAAACATGGACCCATAGTGCCACCACCAAAGCCCTTCCCTTTTCCATTGGAGCCGCCCTTCTTGCCTTTCGACGAGCGGCCCTTGCCTTTCATGCCCATGGGACTGTAGTAGCCCCGTGCCGCACGGACCTTGGCCACTGCTTGTTTGGCTTCAGCCAAGGTTCGATTTGCCTCACCAGGCCTCTTCGAGCCTCTTCTCATTCTCTTGCTCCTCCGCCGTCAACTCCACTCCATCATCACCAGGATGTACTTGATCTCCACCAGCGAACTCATAGTCCTCGTCATAGTACTCCCATGTTGAGGCAGGTGACCAGTCGTTCCAGTAGGCTTCTTCGTCCCACCAGTCCTCAGTGTCATCAACCCATCGATCATCGTCCCACTGCTCCCAACTAGCATCGTCAGTATACCAAACGGTCCGACGAGGCTGTCGTCCTCCTCCATCTTCAAGGCCAGCAGAACCATCCGCAAACAGTGATCTCAGTGCTCTGGAATGAGCTGGAAGTGGGCGCTATTCTTGGCCAGGGTCATGACATGCTGTCGTTCTGCAGCAGACAACTTCGCAGCCTTCAGGAGTCGGTATCCCCTGAGTTCATTCTCAAAGAAACCAGTGTTGTCCAAGGCCGCATGCTTGCCCTCTGTCTGGGTCACCGCAGGCCTAACGCCAGCCTCAGTGCCAAAGTTCTTGGGATCGAGGTGGCGAACAACGCTCTTGGCTGCTCCGGCCAAGCGCTGCCAGATGCGAGGTGCCGCCAGCTTCCTCTCGTTGTCCTTGAGGGAGGCCTCATACCAACGGCAAGAGGTCGCGAAGGCTTCAAAGCCAGAAGGGTCACCGTCCCACGTCGGGACTTCTTCAGCAGGCATCACAACGGCCACGGATCAGCAGGAGCTCCGCCTACCATGAAAGACGCGCTCTCCACAAGAGCAAAACGCGGACCTCAAAGGTCCAAACGCACCGCGTGCCTTTTCCAAGGCCCAAAGTCTCGAGCCCCACCGCTATGGGGAAAGGGTTCAAAAAGGTCATCAAGAACAACATGAACCGCATGCTCACACAAAACAAAAGTCACTACTCCAGGGCAGGTTTTGTCAAGTTGTAAATTATAACCTCACTAAGGACAAGAAGCATCACCGCCAAGCCGATGCCCAGCAGTGGTCCAAGGCAAAGAGTGCCAACAAAGGCTGTCTGAGTCAAAATATGAAAAGTCAAGGAAGGTCTTGCAAGTAATAGAAAGTCTATGATCCATTTCCATACTGTGTCTGTCACTGTGTTTACTTCCAAGCAGTCAACCATCCACATCACAAAGTCACTCTTTTTAATTTTGAACCTGCAGCCAAAACAAATACAGCGAAACCCATTTGAATCAGAAAACAGCATCCACAAATGGAAAACAGGACACTGGCAGTCTTGTGAAAGAGCTGGTTGTATTGTTTTCATAAAGCGCAAATGGAAGGCGTCTTGACTGGTCCAATTCGCTCTGGCTGAATCGAGGCCAAAGCAGGTTGATGGCTACGTCATAGGCCACAAGTTTTGACACGGAGCCTAAGAAAAAAAGAGTTCGACTGAAAAACACGGCAGTAAACATCAGCTGCACAGGGCGTCCTATCAATCTCCTTGGTTCCAAGCTCACAACGATCGCAGCCAGCACAAACTTGGGGAGGTAGTAGAAAAGCCTTTGCACCATAGTGATGTCTAATTTTGGATTGAACACATAGAGTTTATTGGAGTTTCAAGAAGTATTGTTCAGCACTGTCTTGCTCTGGATGCAATACAACTACCATGGTCCCGAATTCCAACTCTGGAGCCTGGAGGGCTGGACAACAGACACGCAGTTTCTCAGACTACATGTTCTCTAAGTGTCCAGCGGAGTGAGGTACAACAGGGCCAAAAGCGATAGCAGAACTGGCACTAAAGAAGTGCGCCAGAAATATATGACCCACCGACACATAATAGCAACGAAGCAGTGCCACACCACAGGCTATGTTGTTCAATGATGTTCAACTAAAATAAGTTATTGCGCCACAACTAAGTATGGCTTGAACACGCTGAGGATCTTGCCTGATACGATACCAGAAAGCTGAGTCACACCCCCACTAGCACTGCATACGGCACTGCGAGAGAAGCTTCCAGAGGCCTGAGTTCCACAAAGAAAGCACAAGCAGAGGAAGCCGGGCCAAGCATTTTTCTTGTTCTATCGAAGATTAAATTAAAGGACTCACCACAGCTGTTTCCATCGCAGCACCGGATATGACGTGAAGATGGAGCCGGCAATATTCGACATGCCCAGAGCCAGCAGCTCTTGTCCAGATTCAACTTCGTAGCCTTGAGACCCATGCAAAAAATGAAGGTTTTGAAGCGAGGGGTAGCAAGATTTAAACAAATAATAATAGTAATAACAATAATGAAAACACGACTATTTCACTGCATGTAGCAATCTATCATGCATGTCATTCATGCAAGCTGATGGATTCAATGTTCTTGAGTCTTGAGGAAAAGGCTCTCATGACGGTCCCCGACTCCTAACGGCCAGAACTTGACCCTCTGGATTTGAAACGTGCGTCCATGCCGTTTCGCCAGGCTCTTAGCTGTTGCAAAAGCTTCGAGAAAGCCTGTCGTCGATTGGCTGGCGAATCGATCAGTGGCGTTAGCCATTCGTGGCATTTCATGATCTGCTTGCACGGGCCTACGAGACTACTAGTACTACTCCTAGTAATAGCTTCTTGTTACTACTAGTAAGGCACCTGTTACTACTAGTAAGGCACTTGTTCCTAATAGCTTCTTGTTACAAGTAGTAAGGCACTTGTTACTAGAAGCGATGCACTTGTTTCTGCTTCCACGGGCCTATGAGACCCAGGGAAACAGAGAGTGGTAGACTCCTTCTCACATCCCACCAGGTCCATCTCGAGAAGATTGTCCAAGCGCAAGGCAAAGACCCGCCAGGAATCTCTTTCATATACTCCAATCCTGCAACGTTTGGAGCCCAACCTCCCAAGCGTCTTGGAGATTCAGCTGAAGGAACCCCTTGAAGTAAACAGACTCATGGCAAAATCCAAACATACAAATTGAAACAGCTTTGGCGCTTCGGACCTGTGCAACATGCTGTGCAAACACCCCCTTTGCTGTAGCAATAATGGATTCCGTGGATCGTAAGCCCCTTGACCCTTGACTTGCACGTCCTTCGATATGCTGCAGGGGCTTGCACAAGTAAATCAAAAGGACACCACAAACCTTAGCAGCAGCAAACATAGCCCCTGGAACCTGCCATATACAAAGCACAACGAAGGAATGGCCAAATGTCACACAGAGAAGCCCGGGGAAGGGTGGACACGAGCATACCGATGCATACCTGCCCTACTGTTTTCTGTGATAAAAGCACTTTGCATTCGACATGAACCACCGTCTTTGTGGCCTTCCCATCAGTTGGTCTCTCCCTCAATGTGCAACCACCCAGGTTAACAAAAGATTTCCTGAACACAAAGAAACGAAGAGAAACAAAGTGGCTGAACAAGTGAAGACACATCGGGTTTTAGGCTATATTGCAAGATTGCGCATCCGGCATATGCACTTCAAGCCCTGAAGCACAGCTCAGTAGTGGCCCAAGAGAGCCCAGCACCTTCCAGCCGCATTTCATGCCCACCTTCCGCAGGCCAACCAAACCAAATGTGAAAAGCAAGCCAAACCTTAGCCAGACTAGGTTTGTTTGGCACCAAATCTGACGTTTATCAACAGGTCAAGTTTCGAGCGTTGCCCTGATGTCAAATGATGCACACAGGCATTGAACACTGTGTTGTTTTTTGCAACCTTCTCAAAATACCTGTCAGCCAAAAATGCACCTTTGTTGTCAAGCTGCCCCAGTGTGATGGGCTGGCCTTCTGAAGCACGCTTGGCAAAAAACACAAGCTTTAGGATGGGAAATTCCTCGGACCCGCTACGCAGCTACGCACGCAACAAAAGAAAACCAGTTGCCGCGCGCGGCAATAAGTTCCTCACTGCGCCAACAAACGACAATGGGCTATACATATCTACATATATACATATATCTATTTATATTTATATGCACACCACAAACCCTTTACAGGTCACGCTACACATCAATCAAATCTGTCCGAGGCACCGAATCTGCCACCTGCACACATTGGAATTTCTCAGGTGTTTCCAGTCCACGCCCATCGTTCTCACAACAAAATGTGCACCAAAAGAGAAACACTGCACACCGAACCGCCCGCCCGCCTTCACCCCAAGGAAGTTTTTCAACTGGTGCATCCTAACCCACAAAACCAATTATTCACACATTGGTCGACTTCTGTCGACTTCTGGGTACCTACGTATGTCCAAGTTTAACCTCCCTCTCAAACTTGCAACGTGCTGGATGTTGTACATCCGGATGAACAAAGGGATAAGTTTGCAACCGCACAACATACCAGCTGCAAAACAAAATGACCCCCGCTGGCTGGCATACGAACGCTTTACAACACGACGGGCAAATGGTGGACTGACTATGCTGCGTGAACGAAGGCAGCAAGAAAGCACTAATTGAATCAAATTTTGCCTTTGGACGCGCGGATCGTCGTAAAAATTGCCAAACGTGAATGCGGCACTGATTGGTGCTGCTTGCATGCTAAAGCGAAGCCCGACACTTGACAAGACCAACTCTGGGTTCGGACTGGCCTCAAGCTTTTCAAAACAAAATCGAAACTCGCAAGCGCCACCAAGCCATGAAAAATTAGAAGTCCTGGCCCCGACGACTTTGGCAAAAAAAACCTCTCACTTTCATGGAAGCCAGTTGAAGCAACAAGAATGGAGCGGGCTTTGGCGATGCGATCAAGTCCGCAATGAACGAGCCACCCGTCTGACCTACCTGCTCTAGCTGGCGTCGCCTTTGGCATGGGAACTCTTGCGGGCCGAACCCTTCCTCTATCGCCAAACCGTGCGCAAATGCGCCAGAGCGCGTGACTTCGTGGAGGGTGATGAAGATGAGGAAAGCTCATCATCCGCATCATCCGCCTCGTCTGCGTGCTCTGGTTCCCATTTGGCGGCTCAATTCAGGCACCCAAACTGTTGCCCCTTGCAAGCACTGGCGAATACATTTTTGCCGCGCGACACGCTGGACCTTCCCAGTGGAAGCCCAGTTGGCAAACTGTGATTTGTTTGCTGGAGATAGATGACGGAACACAGTCGTGGTGACACTGCCTTCGCCATCTGCAAGGCCCCGCACGTTGGACCAGCGCCCCTCGTCGGCAGAACTTTGGCCAGCTCAGGGCGACGAGGGGGCTTGGCCCAAACATCTCACTTTTGCCAAGATGCAATGGGCGAATGCCTTTCGCGCCCAAGTACCGGAACAAACCTGTCTGGAACAGTGGCTTAAAGCGTCCCATTGAAGTTGGAGACAAGTAATGAAGGAATGTTAAGGCTGATGCCATGAAGTGCAATGTTGATGTCACTGGTATGTTTTCAAGCAGCGTAGACATGAAAACCCCGCAGCGGGGCAGAGTAGACCCGTAGCCAGAGATTTGCCTTCCTTTGCTGGAGCGATCCCACTCGCCATTCATAGCTGGACTGTTGTTGGCCTGGGAGCGGGCAAAAACGCAAAGCCACTTACACTTGCTGCAATAATTCCATTGCTAAGTTGGAGTGGGCTTTTGCTGTTCAAACGGATTGCTGCCACAGATGAAGCGCACGGGGGCTAGGTTTCAGGGCGGGGCATTGGATTTCAACCGCTCACCAAGAGACCTGACATTGCTGAGAACAAATTCCTTGCCAGGGAAGGACCTTGACCCTCCTTCCCTTGCTTTCGGAAGCGCCGCCTGATGTGAAGCGCGGCAGTGGATCGGCAGGAAAAAGCACTGGATCCCCGGCCCTTCTGTCGTTGGGTCAAGTCCGCGTAGCATAGGAAGGACAGAAGGGTGAAAGTTGACAAGGAGGCTCTCAGCCATGCTCCAGAAAACACCCGAGCTGCAGTTTATCCTATAGGAAATCCAATCTCAGGACATGAAGGTGCAACGGCCCTCGATCAAGGGTGCAGAGGTGTGTAGCGGCTTGAGAAGTCATTGCTCCTGTCGCTGCTCTGCAAAATCAATTCCAAGGGGCAGGAGGTGAGTGAACACGGCTTGCATCTACCCTTGTTCTTGAGATGAATGAGCAGAGATTCAAAGTTAAAGAGCATATCCATGATCCCATGACAGCGCACTTAGCGCTCGACTGGTTAAACGTTCAAACCTCGCACCTCCATTTTGGCAAGACACACGGGGTGTTACGAAACTCAGCATATCAAAAATAGAACATCTGCGTCTGTGATTAGACTGAATAAGGGCCAGTCGTTTCAGATCTGCCAAGGTGCATGATTACAATCGCAGACCCACTGGAGAAACCACTGATCACCTCATGTCCAGCGCCCAGTCTTCACTTGCTCAGCATGTCAAAAGCGTCCGAATCTGACACAGGCGCTGACCACAAACAACACGCAGACGCAGACGTCACCGTACACCGCACGCGCGCGGGATATTTCAAAAATGAAACGCCAGAGAGTCTGAAACTATCGAATAGCTGGAGGTAGAGAGCGCGTGTCTGTGTCTTGAACCCTGTTCCAGTGTAGACCGTCAGATGGTGGTGAGGCGATGTGGGAGGCCACATCATGAAACTGTTACATATTTCACTTGAGAATGGCCAGAGGCGAAATCGAGAAGAAGCAGAAGGACGAGGGTTGAGGGTTAGCTTGTGTAGTGATAGTGACAAGAACGGTTGCTAGAGTAGCAGTACACCTACAGTATAAATTGATGAATGCCTTACTGCAAAGGTAGGGCTTCTGGTCTATTAATAGGAAAATTCAATACGGGTGTCCGATTCTGTTAACATGAGCCGCGGCCATGTTATTATAAGGCAAGGTCTTCAAACATGCCAGAATACAATGTTTGCTTTTTTCTCTGCTCTATATATATATAATATATATATGATGAAAAAGGTTCTGATTCCAAAGGAATGCAGTGTAGACCAAGTCTCTGGATGACCCAGGAATTTCAAGAGGAAGCCCAATTGCAACACCTCGCAATGATCAGACTGTATGAGGTAGCTCGGAAAACAATTGAACACAATTGAAATAGTTCTCGTGACCAGAATTTGTGCAAAAATGAGAGAAGCTCCTTGAAGAACTCTTGCTGTCAACGGTTTGCAACTGAAATGCTGAAACTAAGCGTTCGATGTCCACTCAGCTGAGGCGCGCAACACAGCGTGAGAACGCACCCAGACAGCAAAGTTTGCAATATGGCCTCCATCGCAACGCGTGGAGCATCAAAGTAGCCAAGCGACGACCAAACTACTGCATACATACAGAACGCAAGCACTATGAAGCACTTGAAAAGTAATAAAGTTTGAATAAGCGCTTTCCGTCTTGTGAGACCTGTGCTAGCAGGCAGGGTCAAGTTTTAGTGGGGGTCTTGTGGATATGTAGTTGGTTGCTGTTTAATATTTACCGACCGCTATCAGCCTGACTTGCTGCGTCACTGCGTCGATTATGCGCTAGAAGATTTCTTAGTGCAAAGTGCAAAGTAGGAGGAAGAGAGCGTCCGCCCTTCGCTTTTCATATAACCACAGGGAGTTGGTTTCGTTGTTCTCTCCACTGGTTCGTGTTGCAATGCTTGGCAGGACGGAAGCTGAAACTTCGTCGAAAGGAAGGCAACAACCTTTGTACCCTTGTACCCGCAAGTTCCTGGCCTTGGCAGGTGCACAAGACGCTAACACTTGCTCTTGGAGGTACCCCATAAGACTAGCTGACTAGTCTCGTTTGTACGGTGCAAAGTACAGTGGGTATTTGCGCCTACGGGCAAGCATTTTCCACAAGGAACCCACGTACAAAAGATGCACATATGTATATATATATAGTACCCCCCAAAGAAAAAAGTAAACACCCTTTCATCAAATTTACTGGTATTTACTGTGTTCTATGCATATTTTTGAGCAAAAAATGAAATTTAAAAAATCCAAAAAGCAAAAAACAAGTTAAATAAGGCAAATAAAAAATTATCCCCCATGACAAAACCAAAAAACAAAAAATGAAGAGAATGTTTGGTTCAGCCTCAAAAGATGGTTTTTGTTGGTGTTCATTGTGTTGTTGTTGGTGTTTTTGGTACTGACATCAAAAAAGATATGTTTTTTGTCTGTTTGAAGGTTTATGGTTGAAGAATACTATCAAAAAAAGAACAAGGGTTTTTTATGTTTGCTGATTTGCTACGAGTAAAACCAAACATCACATACAAAAATAGTGTGTTTTTATTTTGGCAGTATACACCAAAGAAACACAATGTGTTGTTTTTTTCAAAACCAAGAACAACACAATGAAAACAAAAAATAACATACTTTGAGGCTGAACCAATCAGTATCCTCAAAGGTTTGATTCTTGTGTTTTGGGCTTTGTTTGTGCGTTGGTCCTTTGGGCTTTTCCACAACCTGTATTACTTTTTTTGGACGTTGATTTATATATCCTTTTGGAAGTTGGTTTAGATTTGAATTGAAACAAAATCAAATGTTCATCTATTTCCAACGGACGTCAAATTTAGATCCACCAAAACTGAACTGAATTCATGGAAATAACCCTCTTAATTATAAGTTAATTCTATTGAACTCTAATTTAGTTACTAGTTAAGTCCAACTTAATTCTAAATTTAGAATTTTAAATCCCAAATTGAACCTGAGTGAATTCAAATTCGAATATAGTTGACCTCTAATTTAAGTTTAGTTTCAATCTCCAACTTGATTTTAATTCAATTCTGACTGAAAACTCAATTCTAACTTACTTCTATTTATATAAATGTTTTCTTACCGTTAATTCTCATTCAAGTCTAATTCTAATTCATTATTACAGTAATTGATTTCTATATAATCGAGCTGCAGGTTAAGCAATTCTATTTCGATTCTATCTTTATTCTAACCCAAGTCTACTTGAACCAATGAAATTTTGAATGATAATTGACCTAATTCTAATTCAATTCTAATTGAACTCAGTTCAAACTATGTAATTCTACTGTAATTAAATGTTTGTTCTATTTTCAATTATCATTCGTTTCAATTGATTTTAATGTTGAGTAACGTCCATATAGTTCTATTCTAATTGGAATTAAATGCAAATTTTATTCTATATAATTTTTACTTCCGTTCAATTTAATTTCTATGCAGTGCATGTTTAAATCTAATATAACTATATTATTGTTCTAGTTCTAATCTAATGTTAGCTTTTATGCAATTCTAATTTGCTTCTCAAGAGTGCGTGTAGCTTTTAAAATGAACGCTTTGTATATTATTTATGCTTTGTATATTATTTACGTGTTGCTTTCTTAAAGTGCAGCGGAGATTTGAGCAATGGTCGCCTTTTCTCTGGGTCAAACCAAAACGGCTGCGGTATTTACACTACAGTATTTACATGGTCATTATGCAAAGTAGCCTGTATATTCCAGCACGCCTCCCGAGTGTGTTGCCTGTGCAACTCACGAGCACTGTGCTAGATCCGGCTCAAGCCGTTTAGACGTGAAGCGCTAGGTGAGACTCGCCTTGCCTATACTCAAAGTTCATCAACCGCATCATCTGCTCGATTAAACGGGCAGTGACGGCCTCGGTGAGGATGTCAGCATAGTTCTCCGTAGCGCTGACCTTCGAGATGGTGATCAACTTCTGTGTCACATACTGTTGAACCCACAGAAAGACTGTGTGAATATGTTTCACTTTGCCCAAACCGCGCCGTGAGCCGATCGCGGCTCCGGCCGTAGCGTCCATCCAGATTCGGATGCTGAGGCGAACATTCAAGTCGCGGGCAACGCTTTGACCACCTAGGGCCTTTGAGGCCGCGGATACAAGGCCATAATATTCGGCTTCGCCTGAAGATAACGCGATAACTGCCTGCCCCCGGCAGAAACTGCGAATCATGGTGTGGCCAAACGTGATTGCACAGCCCGTTGTGGATTTGCGCGTTCGGACGCAACCCCCGTGGTCTGTGTCCACGTAAACGTCGAAGCCTTGCGCTGATTTCTGATACTTGAAGCGTTGCACAACGCGAGGCGCATACAGCAAGTACCTCGCACACCTCTTCAGCAACTCGAAATGACGAACTGTTGGCTGGCCGGCTCATACCTTTCGCCATCTCGCGAACTGTCCTTTGAAGATCAGCTCGGTCTTGACCCAAGTATCCAATCCTCATCGTCCAGGAACGATAGATGGTTGCAGATGCTTCATCTAAAAGCTCGTCCTCCTGGTCCAAGTCACCCAGCTTCTCCTTGACCAGAGGAGTGGTCACAGGTTTGGTAACAGCAAGCTCCTGAACCACGAGCTGCGCGTGCCTAGGGCCCGACTCGTACTCGATGCCTTCACTCGTCCAGCGAACAATGCGGTTGAGACGCCGCGTTTCCTGAATGCGCCCATATGTTTCGAGTGAGGTGGCCCGAGGATTCCGCGATCTTCGATGATCCAAATTTGCCGCAGTTGCTCGGAAAACCACTTCAGGTCGTCGATCTTACCGAGGGTGGTAAAATCGTCGCCGTGCACAGAAACCCTTAAATTCCGCTGTGGGTGGAAGAACACACAAGGAGTGGCCTGGCCTTGCGCAAACCCAAGTGAACTCAAGTCACGCAGGATTTGGCGCTCCCAGTTAGCAGCGGCATCGCGCGCGCCGTATACCTACCAGGTCTCGCCTGTGTTGCCGCATTTCCGGCGGCAACTCCACGTATAGCTCCCGAACTGCCTCGCTGACAAAGTGCGCTCTTTTCACGTCGATGAAAGAGATCATCATGTCTCGAGCGCACTCACTGGTTGCCCTCATTGGTCTCGAAGATCAAAGTTGTAGCCAGGGCCAGGAGCAACTTGAACGTAGACAAGGGCTGCATGGCTGCGAAGTATTGCGCAACCAGAGATCCTTTGGCTCCACGCTTGATCTCCTTCCCGACATACCTGGACCTGTAATTCGGTCGAGCGTCGTCGCCCTTGTTCACGTCGACCCACCTGCCTTTAAGGACAGGTCGATCTTTGGGGCGTTCCACCTCGTCAAAGACAGACATGCGCCGGATGAAATCTACTTCATCCTGCCTTGCTTTGAGGACGCGGGAATGCTCCAACTGCTTGCCCGATACATCGTCAAAGAAGGTCTCAAGGTAGCAATCCTGCTCCAAGCCTGAAGGCTCTTCGCACACAGGCCTTGGATTGCGCTGCTCGTCCGCCTCCTCGACAATGGTCGAGATTACCTCGTCGCGATCTTTTTCCAAGAACATCATCATCTGCCTTTACCACGCTGACAGGCTGCTCCATGAACCACCTCTGCTTCCATACCTGCTTCTTCCAGTTCCTCTCCACCACCGTCGTGTTTTCGTTTTGGCGCTGGTGGAGGAGATTCCTTTGGTTTCACAGTCCGCACTTCGTCACCTCCAGGCGGGGGTCGTTTGGTACCAGTCGGATGCGCAGCGCCTCCCGAACTAGAACCCTTGCCGCCTTGGCTCACCGGCGCTTGTCTTGCAATCACCAGCGGCGCGGCACTTGTTGAAGGAGCCGCTCCAGCAGGAGCCGAAGCCACACCTGCCGAGGCTGTTGGTGTGGGCGGTTTGTGTCCCAAGCGCCGCTCCAAGTGCCTGCTCAAGAAGCGGTCCACGCGTTCTTGCTCTGCAGGATCTTGGGGCACTGCCGCCTCCATTCGTTTCCTGCACGCGTCAGTGTGCATGATTCCGCCCGATCGACGTCCTAGACGGGTATTGTCACACGCAGGACACCCGGCCGTGAAACCGTGCGTTTCCAAGTTCTTGCGCGATCCTTCCACCGAGATTCCATTTTACCCCGGCCACGCAACCTAAACTCCACCGCTTCTCCCCAGGCTGGCAAAGGGATTTTCCAAGGCTTCCCTCTCAGCCTTTGGTACGCGGTCATTCCGTCCTCTTTGTCGCGGTGAAACAATGTACACAAGACAGCTGCGTACACCAATGCCCAAGCCACCATAGGGTGGTTTGCAGAGAGCTTTGCCAGAACAAATTTCCAAAAACTCCTTTAGGGTTCGAGCCAAACCCCCGACAAACTGCCCAGCTCTTTCCACTTCACCGTTGCTTTTCTCGTGCCCCTCAACGGGCGCCTTGTTTGGAACTACCTCTCCGGCAAACCTGTTCTCGACTTGCTGGATCAAAGCTTGCACGCTTGGCTCCTGATCGCCTTTTAGGGCTATCCGTTTGTACCCTGTAGACTCTAAGTCCTTTAGTAGCTGGGTAGACCCATATGGGTGTTCAATCCCTTTGGACGGCACGGGGTGTGAAAACACTGGCCCCGATTTCCGGTCCTTTACCATTAGTACTGGTAAATTGGTTGCTGGGTTGGCCTCGTCGTCAAAGAAAAAGTAATCTATGGAGATTGTGGGTATCTGTTCCTCATACTTCTGGGTTTGTTTCTTGCGCCCTACTGACAAACCTCGACCCCTTATGCATGCTGGGCACCATGACCTAAAAGGTAAGTGTGAAACATTATGTGCGTCTATCTCCTCCTGAGTTGGGAGAATCGGAGAGGATAGTGTGTTCGGCTGCTGTGCTTCCGCCTCACCATCTTCTCCGTTGTTTCCTCCTCTCGAGCTGTCAGGAGGATTTCCCTCAACAAGTGGTGAAACTTCAACTGTCTGCGATCGAATGGGCCTTACGGCATCGCCGCCTGCCCTTGGAAACCCGAAGCGGGTTCCTGATTGGCACCTTTCATCCACACCCGGACCTTGTAAACACCACCCTTTTCATACAAAGGGATGCCGGCTCCAGACTTTCGATCTAGGATGTATGATCCTCCATGTGCCTCGCTATCGTGCACCACTTTCATACCAGCCTTGGCCATGGCAGCCGCGCTGAAGATAGGTTTCTTCAAAGGGCTCAGGACTGTCATCCGCACACGTCGCTCCAGGCCAGGCTCAAAGTAGAAAGTCGGCTGCCGAAAGCCCATTACTTTGACAGGATGATTGGAAGCACTTGCGTATGGCCTTTCCTCGCCAGCAGGCTTCAGCAAAGGCACCCATTGGCGCCCAAGTCCTCCGGCAGGCCTGAGAGCGCAGATCCAGAATCAACTGTGACCTCTATCTCCTCATAGCCGTCCCATTGTCCGCTTGAGACGTCCAAGGAGTTGATCCCTTCAAGCTCATCGACGCCTTCCAAGCCATCCAGGCTTGAATCATCAGTATCTCCTGTCGGCATGGCAGCCTTCCTCAGCTCAACTACTTCCGCGCGAAGCCCTTCAAGTTCACGTCTGAGTTTCGCATGTTCAGTCTCCAGGTGGTTGCCCGAACCGGGCCTCCACCGAGATCCTCAGAACGCGCTCTCTCAAAGTTAGAGTCGGCTTCGTTCTTCTTGACCGGCGGCGCACTTGGTGGTGCCTTTGGAGGTGTCTGTCACCGGAGCACATGTGGAGGAACTCGGCCGTGAAGTGTCTCGATCCCAGCTTCGCCAATTCTTCCATTGACGGGATTCATGGCCATCCTCCTTCCATGCGGCCTTCTCCCATGACCGCCTGTCATCCCAATCCTCCCACTGATCCCTTTTGGGCCTCCAGCGTGATTGTTGGGGTTGGTCCCTTTTGTCTTGGCCTTTCTTGATCTTCTTCAACCGATCCTTGCTCTTCGCAAGATGGTTCTGTTTGGCCTGCGGTCCACGACGGTTCATCCATGGAGGTTTCTTCTTGGACCGTGGCTTCACCTCTGGAAGTTCCTCATCCTCATCCTGCTTGAACATCCGAAGCTCATCTCGGGTGAATGGTTTTGAAACCATATCAGGCTCCAAGTCTGGACGGTCTCCATCAAAGGTGCCTCCGTTTCTGTCGTATTTCTCTCGGTCTTTGTTCTCGATGTGTTCCTGCCATCGTTCCTGCACAGCCACACTTTGTTTCGCACGTTCCTTGGCATTCTTGGCTCTGTGTTCCTTTGCTCTCTGACGGCTCTTCCACTTCCGCTTGGCCAGCTTCCGGCCCATCTCCCCCACATCTCGCTGATACCTGGGATCATCTTGGATGTTTCCCTTCTGTTTTCTCAACTCTTCCAGGGTTCGCGTGCGCTCTGCGATTCTGGCCTCAACCTCGCTTCTGGCTGGGTCATTCCTGGAAAGGTTTGCCAATTCGGGGTTTGAAAGAAGCAAATTCCAGGAGTTGAGCTGCCTGTTTTCGTTGGTACTGCTGGGGATTCATCTTGCTCTTCTGTCTCCTGCGGCGTGGATGCCGAAACGGCCAGCCCGAGACTCAGAAGAAGCAGACTCGTCATCTTCCATCTCAAGGGCAAAAAGGATTCCCACTTCACCGGTGGGCTCTTGGGCTGGTTCGGGCTCCAACCTCCCCAATCGTCATAATCTTCTTCCTGCCACTGCTCATCTGTGGTTTCACCATCAAGGGCTTTAACGTCCTTTCTGCCATCCTTCTTCCCAGATCCTTTTGCCTCCTTGCCTTTACCCTTGGCCTTTCCACCTTTCCCTTTCTCTTTTCCTTTCCCTTTGCCTCTTCCTTTGGGGCTTCCTTTGGAAGGTTTGGTGGACGAACGCTGGCCTCCAGAATTCTTGCGCCAACAGTCCTTGGCAAGGTGGCCCGGCTTCCCACAGTTGTAGCACTCTCTTCGATGGACAGTGTCAACATCCACGGGCGCAAGGCCGGATGAAGAAGACGACAACTTCACATCCAAATAGGCCTCAACTTCGGACCTCATAAGGTCATAGGTGGAGAGCCTCGCGGCATGCAGCTCCAAGTGTTCCTGCAAACCTGCAGGGCATTGGGCCTGAAGGCACAGTCGACGAGCTGGATCAGTGAGTTGGTCACCGGTCCGTTGGACATACTCACTGTATGTCTTCTCCCATGTCTCCAGGCAGGCTCGCAGATCCTTGAGTTCAACACTCTTTGGGTGAAGGATTTTCCCAAGTAGCCGGTAGTTGCTTTGCGCAGTGTTCGGCTCATACTCCCTGGATAGTTTTCTCCAACCATCTGCCCCGGATCCACTAACAGCGTTTCTCATCATCGAAAGGGCTTCCCTTTTGTAAGGCTGACTAGTGCCACATGTAGTTGCCGATTGGCCTTACCAACATCTAGCCAATTCTCTGTCGCTGCTTGTGCGGCCAACTTTGCATCATCAATTGGTCCGGTTTGTTTCTCCGACCATTTCAGCATAGCCTCTCCGGCTGTCCACTGGCTAGCAAACCAAGTGGTGAACTGGAAGCTCCATAACGGCCATTTAGATTTTATTTCCTCCTTCGTCCCATTCAGCACCTCAGGTTTCCCAACAGCCTTCACGTCGATCAGTCCCTCTCTGTCGTCCTTTCGTTGTACGAGGGCTCTCAAGGAGTCTATCTGGGCCTGTTGGGATTGCATAAGTTGCTGTTGCTGCTCCATTATCCTCAACAGAATCTGTTCTGAGGGATTCATTTCTGAGCCGGCCGTTAGACTTGGGGACATCTCGCAGGATATGGGTCGAAGCGACCCTATCCGCGGTGCCCTTTAGATGCAGCGCCGCGCGCGCAGGTGTTTGCTAGAGCGGGTTTATTAAACCACGCTCCGCTACCATGCAGCGGAGATTTGAGCAATGGTCACCTTTTCTCTGGGTCAAACCAAAACGGCTGCGGTATTTACACTACAGTATTTACATGGTTATTATACATAAGTAGCCTGTATATTCCAGCATAAAGGTTGTTTTCTCAAAATCACACCCCCAGCAAAACCCTCTCTCTAGAATAAAGTCAGAATTACATGAGAATTCAATGTGCATTGAATTAAAGATTGATTTGCATTGAACTAGAATCGAATTAAAATCAAGTTACAGTAGAATTAATCAAAATTAAATTGAAAATCAAAATAGAATTAAACTAGAATTGTAAAACAACTGAAATTGAATTGTATAAGAGTTAAACTAGCTGAAACTAAAATTTAGTTACAAATAAATTGAAAAATAAACAAAACTAAATTTGAATTAACAAAAAACTAAGTTAGAACTAACTTCGAGATAAGTTAAAAGCAGGTGGGTTTTGGGGGGGCTAGCATATAGCATCATATAATATATATATATAATGCATACAAATGTCTTGCTTTACAAAGGTAGCAGTACTCTGCTTCCTTTGCAGCAGTTTATGAGTGAGCACTGCGAAATGCTCTCACCAACAAGACTGCCACATCCACGAAAGAGTTCCTGATTGCAAACAAGCTTCCAAATCTATATACTTCTCTTGGCAGACCTCGAGAACGAGTCGACAGTATTCTCTCTCTCTCTGAAAATATTGCTTTTGTGGCACAATCGCAAAAACATGTGTATATAATTTATATATATATAAGCACTGTGCTTTCCAAACACCTCTCTTTGCCGTTCCAGCTCGCTGTGGGTCTGATTGTGCCACATGGGACATTGGTACTCATCCTCAGCAAGAATCCCTCACAGCAAAAAGAAAGTGCTCCTAATTAAAAGTCATTCAGCAAAGAGAAACAAACAAAGTGAAAGCACTAATGCTTAGGGGTCCGAGAAGAATTGCTTGGCCATGGATCTACACCACCCTCAAGACCAGCCCGGAGCAGCAGTGAGAGCATGGCAACTGGACCCACCATCAGCCTCAAGTGCGACAGCACAAGCACTAGGCTTCACCCACCCACAAAGCTCAAAGCTGGCAATGGAAAGCTAAAGAAAAAGCATGGAAACTTAGCTTGGTTTCGTTGTGGCAAAGAAACTGTCTGGACTGGCCAATGAATGAATACACCAGTTGGGGCACAATCAAGGCATACCTGATGCATGTCAGGTTGCAGATTTTCGCGTAGCTTTTCTCCAAAAGCGCCTTTCTTCTGGCAAAACAAAGTGCAAGTTACTAAACAGTACCAAGCCGCAATCCATATTCCTGGAAGCACGAAACAAATGAAACACACATTTCTGGATGAGGCGCTTCTTCTTTGCAATCAGGTGGCGAAGGGTAGGCCAGCGATTTGGGCATACGAAAGACTCTCTGGCACACCCATTACTGACACTGTGGCTCCTGGCAAGAAAGATTTGTCTTGAAAAAAGCATTGTGCGGCAAACCCCACTCATGCCTTGGCATTTCCTTAGAAAAACTATGAAAAACTTATCCATGGGTCCATGGGTAGACAAAATGAATGCTGGGCGGGCGTGAACTGCCGCTTGAAAAAGGTGCTATACTGTGCTGTTTAGAGGTAGTGATTGCACAACGGTGTACAGTATTGTGTTGGATAAGTCAGCGTGCCAAACAAATGTCTGCGATAGTCACCGATAGTCATGCCATGGCCTCAAAATAGTGTGCGTTGTCAATAAATCAAATCCAGCTGGTCCTGCCAAAACATCAGCAAGCAGCGTTTTGGATGTGGCCTTGCACAAATGCGCGAAAGGGATGGTTTCCTGCAAAAGCATCTCATACCAAAGCAGTTTCTTTCGCAGATGGGCAGGTAGTCAAATTATAAATCCAAAATAAGTTGTTTCTGCTCACGACATTCCATCTGCCAAAGGCCTCTCGGAAAAGTCGCGTCAATGGAAAACGCCTTGAGATTCTCGCTTGAAAAGTCTTCTCGCTGTCAGTCCTCTGTTTGGATTGCTGGCACCCAACGAAAAGGAACTGGAAACAAAAAGCTACCCAGGTCAACGCACCCTGAAGTACGACCAGAATGGAAACCTGAAGATGCAAAACCATGTCTTCAGAGACCTCTAGACTTTCAGGTGATTTTGCTACATAGTTATCCTACACATCAACCTGGTGCAACCAGTCCAGACACTCAATTCGAGTTCCTTTCTCCCGTCTCCTCAATGGTCTGAGCAAATGCTGCCGGGCAGAAAAATCGTGCAGTGTAAGTTTGCGCTTCCCAAGCAAATCAGCCAGATCCTCTTTCCAAGCTTGGAATATCTGAAGCTGCAACTGAAACCTTCAGAATGTTCCACCAGCCGCCAGCCAAACAACTGTCCTCATCTTCAGATGCAGTTTCATCCTGCCAAGTCAAGTCCATTTGAATGCAAGCATTATCAAAATATAAAGTCCCTACAATTTACATGCCAAATGTTCCTGCTCGAGAGTGCCAAGAAAGGACAATGCAATTTCACGTGAAACAACACATGTGTTTACTTTCACACGACACTTATATAGATACCAAGATTCTTCGCGCATTTCCCTCCAAATGGACATTGAAAGGGAGTCGTGCACTTCCATTTTGCTTCAGGTCAAAGTCCCTTCAACGTCACGTTGAAGTCTTTGTTTGGGCCTTCAAGTCCCAAACATACCAGCTCTAAGCTTCAAAACTGGAAGGAGGCGTTTTTGATCCAGAGTTGGCCATCGTTGGTTGCAACATTTTGCACGTGTACAAGCTGCTCATACTGGTAGGAGGCATGATGTGAAATGAATCAACAAATGCTACATAAATTATATAAATGAATCAGGGTGGGGAGGATGTCGGGTGGTTCGGGAGCACCGCTTCCTCACCTTTCTTGTACAGAGGTTGTTCCTTTGTCTCTTCATACCAGACGCACTCAAGCACACCCAACTGAGTGCTTCCTGTTTGGCAGTGCATCTACGACTTCTTGACAATTGCTGACACAGCGGCAAAGAGGGCAGCCCATAAGTTCGGCTTTGCAGTGACAGTTCGAAGACACGTACTGCCGTCACCATAGTTGGGAGCTTTTGATTTATATAGTATGGATGCTGCGCTCGTTTCGACTGCTGATATTATGAAGAGAGTAGAACGGGGCCTTTCGATTGTAAAGGCAAGTTGCATTGGAGAATTCGGAACTGGGAGGGGCTTGTTACAGGTTCTGCGTGTTCCAGGAGCGACTATGGTTTTCCAAAAGTAATTCAGAACATAGTTTCCCCATCTTGCCGATCTCTGGCAACCTGACAAGTCAGCCGCACCGCGTCCTCAATGTCAATGTCTGCGGTGAAGCATTTTAGACAAGCGCCTTGGTTTCAGCACAAGGTGCAACGAGTATCCAAGTGGCACTCACTGCTAGTGTATTTCTTAAGTGTACTGACTCCAGAACGTTGTCTAGTGCCTCGAAAAGATCGAAACATGTTCGGTAATTCAAAAGGTCATGAAACTAAGGTTCTCAAATCTTTGGGCTTTCGAAGAATGTCCTCAAGTCCTCAAATATCAGTTCGCCAATGTACCACTGATCATGTCCCCCAGAGCTATCTGCCGCTGACGCAGAAGAAGGAGGGCTGCTGCTGTCTGCGAATCGGACCTCAAATTCAATCACACCTAAGCAAAATCTTCAAGAAAGAATGAAGTAAATCCACATTCGGTGGCAAATTATGCAATGATTGGCAGGTCGGACGATTCTGTGCAATTTTCAACGCCCCTCCAAACCAAAGGAGGATGTTCGGAGCAAGCTGCTGCTTGAGGTAGCCTTGGCTTCGAAAGAGTGAATGCCCATGTCTAAGGAAGAAGCCTTCTGTAAGCGGCTGTTTATTGCTGCATTTTCTAGTCTATACCCCGCCAATGGTGGGGGCACTGGCCCCGAATAGCACGAAAATGCGCCAACACGATGCGCCTCCTTACTACCACTCGCTCCGCACGTTTCAGTGAAACGTGCCGATAGAATGTTGGTCGTGCTGGAGCAAAACATTGCAAAAACATCCTACGCGCAAACATCTAAGGGCTATAGATTCAAAAAAGGAATGCGCCTGGCATGAAGGGTGGTGGAATCTTCCATATGGCGGCCAGTGACATGAAGGCAAAAGCAAACTCGAAAGCGACTGAAGAGTCTGTGACTTTCCACTTATATATATGTATATATAGATAAGGGCGGGCACATGCAAAGTTAGAGCTTGGGTTGCCTTTGCCACATCACGCAGCCCGGTTCAGATCTACTCTGACAGTCTGACAACCAAGCAGTTGTGGCACATCTCGAGTGTTTGATTCAAACTAGACTGGTGCAAAAGACATAGAGGTGTCTGGACTGGTGGCTGGCGGCACGCTATTCAGCAACAACTGGCCATGACTCACTCCAGTGGATCCCTGCACATGAGGAGTGGCTGTTGAAATTACGTTGCCACATAGACACACGGGAATGTGCTGCAGCCGAGCACCAGAAAGGGAAAGGCACACAAAACGTTTGGGCACAGGTAGACAGAGTTTACAGTTGAAAGAGACGTTTTCTATAGGCTCAACGCACAAGAGTAGGCACTGGCAAAGCTCAACCGTCTGCCAACGCCATTCGAAACATAGATCTGCCCGCAAGCATTGCTGCCCCGGAAACCGCTTTGAATTGGTGATGCCCCCAGCCTTTGCGATGGCACGAATGGTTTTATGATGATTAATGATTAATGGTACTTCGCGGTCATGCCCGGGTTTGGGTTCCAACTACACGTCACAATGTGCGTTGGCCTCAACCTCAACACCCAACCCTCGCAGCATCGCAGGTGTGCAAAGCACCAATTATATAAGATGTTGAGACGCACGCTGTGCGCCATGTTTGACATGTCATGTCATGAGTTTCTTTTTCAAACCAACCATATCCCACCGTAGAGGGTGGGCTCGAGAAGCCTTTGGAAAAGGCCGCGTGTGGCGTTAAGTCGCCTTCCCCGCTTCGACCTCGTCGTTGCTTCGTGTTTTTGCTCGCCGTGGACCTCGTGCGCTACGGCTACTTCTCTACATTGGTAGCGGAGCCACCGGTCTGGTGGCTCCCTGCCTGTGCGCTCCGCGACTACGAGCTCTTTGTCCTGGTTGAGACCTACGGTGGGTTTGACTGTTCTCGCTCTTGCATGGTGGTTCCTTCCACTTCATCACTACGCCCGCGCAGAGCCCTACGTCCCTGAGAACGTCACCATGGCCTCGAAGAAGGCCCAACCCGCAGGCGCAGGTCAGAGCTCGAAAGATGGCACGTTCATGGACTTGAGGGACAGTTTCGTGCCGCTGTTTTCCGGCCAGCCGGCCGACTACCGGGAGTGGAGGGCTCGCATCCATCTTTACCACAGAAAGATGGCATTGACAAAGCGGTCGACAGAGAGTGTGCTCAACATCGTGGGCTCCTTCACCGGTGTCACTTGGCGTTTGTTTCAGGATTGGGGGCATGAAGAACTAGAGAAAGGAGATGCCTTTGAGAAGGTCATTGCCACCCTGGATGCAAACTTCGCCTATGACACCAAAGTTCAGTTGCCCACTGATTTCGAGTCATACTTCAATTTGCTGCAACGCACCCCCGGTTAAACACTGCTGTTGTTTGTTGCCGATCATGAAGAAGCCTATAGAAAGTTGCAGCAACACCGCATTGAGCTTCCTCCCTCCGTTCAAGGATGGCATTTACTCCGCCGTTCTGGCCTCACTCGTGAACAACGACAGCTCATCACCCTTCGTGCGCCCAACCTGGAGAAGACTGAGGTGATTGAGGCGATGTATTTGATCTTGGGCCAGGACTACAAAGGTGGAGGATGGAATTCAGAGCGGAACCGACGGTTCGGAGGCCACTCCCCTTCCTGGAAGCACCGCGCCTATGCTGCTGAAGACTACGAGGAAGACCCGCACCAGGAGGATGAAGCATGGGAGTATGGCTACTATGAAGAAGATGAGTCTTGGGCCGATGATCCGCAGTCTCAGGACTATGACCTCTACGATGATGGCCAGGACTTTGACCACGATGCTGGCTACTACGGTGAGGAGGATCCCTGGCCTGAAACAGAAGAGCAGCAGAACCCTACACAGATGGCTGCCGCCTATGACGCTGCTTTTGCTTCCTACACGGACGCAAGACGACGGTTTCAGGAACTGAAGACAGCTCGTGGATACCTTCCCATTGTGGCGCTCACAGATGGTGGTAGCACTTCACCTACGGCTACATCACCACAGTCGCCTACTTCCTAGAGAACAAAAGGAAAAGGGAAGGGTGGGTCCAAAAGTGGTAAGTCACAAGGAGCTGGCAAATCGGACCTGAAGGGACGAGCGAAGGCCAACATGACCTGTCTTCGCTGTGGCCAGCCAGGCCACTGGGCAGCGAACTGCCCTCAATCGTCGTCAAGTCCTTCGGCGCAATCAGCTGGTGTCAAACGACCCGCATCGACCACAGAGGCCATGGCTATGACTCCCCAAGCTGATGAGAGCGCCCTGTTGATCTTCCAAGATGCCACAGGAGCCGAACGTCCCGAGTGTGTCATGTTGGACCCAGGTGCCAGCGCCTTTCTCTCGGGCTATGGACCGTTCAGAAGGTTCCTGGACCATTTGCGCTCCTTGCACTTCCCGATCGACAAGATCAAGATGAGCAAGGGCCGGCGTCGCTTTCAGTTCGGTGGTGACGCATCCTTGTGGTCCGACTGGTCAGCTCATGTTCCCACCTTCGTGGATGGCAAGTACGGCACAATTGAGGTGTTCCTGCTTCCGGGCAACACGCCCATGCTATGTGGGAGGCCGATCATCGAGGCCTTGGGCATGACGATGGACTTTGCTCAACGACGCCTTCGCATCGGAAGCTCGCCCTGGATGTCGGCCACTCTTGGTCGCCAAGGTGAATACCTGTGGTCCCTCACCAATGAGCATGACAATGTCCACTACCACCCGGAGAAGCCGGAGTTTGTGCTCAGGACCAATGACCAGGGTGTTGAACAAAATGATGGCTTCCTGCTCAAGGACTTCATGGCCGAGGAACATGGCTTCACCACCTTCGAGAAGACTGATGAGCCGGCCTCTTCGAAAGCATGAGCTGAAGACCATGGACACACAGTTGGCCACTCAGCTGAATGATCTGTCTGCATATGTCACGAAGGAGCTTCACCGTCCCGAACGTCCTCGCATCCTATGGGAGGTCTATTGTGGCAAGGCACGCACTGCTCAGCTGGCTGAAAGTATGGGCATGGAAACTCGCACCTTCTCCTATGAGACTGGGTGGAACTTCGAGTTGCTGAACCACCAGGACGAGTTCCTGCGCCTTTTGGATGAGGAAGCCCCAGATGAACTATTGATGGCACCAGAGTGCAAACTGTGGAGCCGCATGCAGTCCTTGGGTCGCAGAACTCCAGCACAGCAAGAAGCATTGAGGGCGGCCCGACAACATCATCACGACCGGCACCTGATGTTTGTGCGGCGTGTCTACTTGGCTCAGGTCAAAGGAGGAAGGCATGTTACAGTTGAACAGCCCAAGAACGCCTTGTCCTGGAACACCCGCGCACTCCGAGATCTACCAGGACGCCGTGCAGATTTTTCCCAATGTCGATATGGTGCTCGATGCTTGGACACCGATGGAACATGGAAACCAGTACAGAAGCACACATCGCTGCTCACCACCAAGCGCTCAGTTCAAGACGCCATGTCACTGCAGTGTCAACACGATCACGAGCATTGTCCTTTGGAAGGAGCAGCACCTGGTCTTGGTTCGAGAACTCGCTGTATCAACCTGCATTGGCTGCTACTCTTGCGGCTGCCTTGGCCGTCGATGAGCCTCCTGCCTTCTGGGAGACTGGACATGCTGCCGAAGATGAACGTGAAACCACCAGCTCTCTGGTCAAGCTACGAAGCGAGACCAAGCAGGACGCCATTCGAACAGTCCAGCCATCCATCACCTCAGGCCCTATAGGGGAGCTACTGGAAGCCAGAGGAGCCTCCAAGGCCATTCTACAAGCAGCCAAGTCCTATCGCTGTCTGGCCTGTGCGAAGTACATCCATGCCTACGACAAGCCAGTTCAATGAGGTGCTACAAGCTGATGTCATGTGGCTTCGTCGCGGCACCGTGAAGTATGCCATCATGAGCCTGGTGGACAGTGCAACCCGCTATACAGCAGCCTCACTCATTCAGTCCGAGCACACTGACAACTATGTCAAGGCCCTGGAGCGCACTTGGATTGCACACTACGGTCCTCCTAGCACCTTGCTCACCGATGAGGGTCTTGGTTGGCTCAGTTCACAAATGGATGAATGGACAGCTGCACACCAGATCAAGCATGTTGCGGCGCCTGGCGAAGCTCATGAACGTTTGGCCATCGTGGAGCGGCGACACGCCGTCATTCGCAAGGCAGTTGAAGTCTACCTCACAACGATCTCCAGATGGATGGACCTGCAGCCATCCAAGAGGCCCTGAAGAGCGCTTCATTTGAAGTACAAAGGCATCAACTCAGAGTATGCCCTGGGCCAGCAGGTGTGGTTCTGGAGGGACGCTCGTCAACCCGACTTAGTCAAGATTCGTTGGTTGGGACCTGCTCAGGTCGTGATGAAGGAGCGTCGACCCAACACTGAGGACTCAGAAGGTCCTGTCTCCGTGTACTGGCTCGCCTACAAGACCCAGCTCATTCGCTGCGCACCTCATCATGTTCGAGCCGATGTCCGAAACCTCAACCACTCCATCGAGGACACGAGAGATGCCCTGAACCTAGTGAGGCAGTTGAAGTCAAGAGGAGTCACTCGGTTCTATGACCTTCATCGAGTCAACCGGCAGAACTTGGCCGATGTCGAGGATGACGAACAAGGCGAGGGCACACAGCTTGACACGGAGTCAGAACATGAAATGACTCCTCCCCGCCGCAGACCTCGGCTTACGATGGATCCACCTCCAGCTCCGTCTGAGGCACCGCCAGCTTCACCGCCACCAGATGAACCAGCACCAGCCCAACCCGTGGCACCAACTGCGCTGGAAGAAGGCCCAGCGGCAGAGGCAACCACATCGCTACCTCCGGTCCCAGGCGATGATGATACTCTCCGAACCCAGCCAGGAACCCAGTGAGGAGCCACCAGTGGCACCGTCGATGCCACCCACACCGGTACCTCAACCTCCAGCAACTCAGTCGCAACCCACGTTGGATCCCGCAACGGCAGCACTTTATGAATCACAACCAGCTGAGACCTTCCAACAGCAGCGACTTCGATTCAACAGACAGGAGACTTTGAGCTTTGCACCGTTCCGCCGTCGACATCAACATGGACAACCACCGTATCCCACGGCGGAATCAACGGAAGCCACAGAAGCCCATGTCCCTCCTCTACCAGCACCAGAGCAGCTCGATGGCCAAGCGTTCTTCATTGAGAACCTGGGTGCCAAGTCATTGCCCTCTGGTTGGCGAGTGGACGAACAGGGCTACCTGCAGCTCGAGGAGAAGATTGCTGACTACTGGGAGCTCACAGCTGGGTGTTTGATCCGTCACCACATGGTCCCTCGCCGAGGCCGCATGCACATCGAGCATTTGCCCAAAGATTGTCCGATCAACCCGGACCAGCTCGGCAAAATCAAGATCACCATGGTGCATCAGGCCAATGGCCGGAGTCAGCTCCACACCGATGATGGAACGGTCACCTCACCTCCCGATGGCACTAAGGGGGCATGGACAGGCACCACCATCTTTCAGCTCTCCGGCACTGCCCGACGTGAGATGGCTATGTACACCAGCACTCCCATGGCTCGCACCAGCGCTCGCCAAGTGGCAAAGGAGCAGAAGAAGTCCAATCTCAAGAAGTTCAAGAAAGACAATTTAAAAGTGGAGTTAATGAGAGACTTCTTGGTCCACATGAGCGCGCTCTCTTCAAGGAGGCGAAAGTCAAGGAGCTCAAGTCCTTCTTCGACCATGGAGTCTGGGCTTTTCAGACGACCGCGGAAGCTGATGAAGCCCGTATCACGCATCTTGCTCAAGTGGTCAAAGAATGAAGATGGCACTCCACGGGCGAAGACCCGGACGCGCTGGCAGGGTCAATTCCTACATCCTCTCCAACGACTACCAGGTTGTCAAGATCTATGGTCCTGTCACTTGCAGCAAACCTTCGCTGGCCAACATGGACAGCAGACGTCAGCACTGCCTTCCTCCAAGGTCGTCCACAGACCCGCAAGCTCTGGGTCAAGCTGCCTGCAGAAGCACTTCAGCTGTTGGGCGCTTCAGATGACACGAGGATGCTCTTGTTGAAGCCTTGCTACGGCCAGACGGATGCCCCTCGTGGTTGGTATTTGGAGGCAGTTGATCGGTTGCTGAGGGCAGGTTTGAGACAGCATCCACTGGATCCATGTGCCTTCCTCATCTACGAGAAGGACGATCCTGAGTACTCCGAAGATGATCCGATTCACACGGAGACCAGCACTCTTGGCCCAGAGAAACTTTGCGGCATGGTGATCATGCACGTTGATGACATGTTGGGCGCTGGATGTCCTCGTTCTCCCAGGTACAAAGCAGTCACCGACATGCTGCGCTCCACCTTCTCATTTCGAGAGTGGAAGGAGGACAATGACAAACTGGAGAACTGGAGCGCACTCCTGAGGGCGGCAGACGCCTACATCAGGAAAACTACTTCAGCAAGGTGAAGCCCATCACCATCTCTAAACACCGTGATCTACAAGAGCCGCCTGATGAGAAGGGAATCACTCAAGTCCGCGGCGTCCTCGGCTCTTTGCAGTGGCCCGCTGCGCAGACCGCCTCACCTTCAGTGCTCGACCTCCATGTTGTCAGGCCAAGTGAACAAGGCCACCACTCAGACCGTCCATGACTGCAATCGGCTTTTGAAGTTCGCCAAGGAACACAAGGATGTCAGTTTATACTACAACTTTATTGGACACCCCAGCGAACTGCAACTCTTGTGCTTCTTTGATGCCGGCTTCACTGCCAGGTCCGACGGCAGCTCGCAAGGTGGCTACATCCTGATGTTTGTCAACCGACAGTTGTTCACTTCTGGCGATGATGGCGAGTACCACGTACTGGATTGGCGAAGCTTCCGCACTCCAAGGGTCACTCGAAGCTCACTGGCTGCAGAGGCCCAGGCTGGAGGACAAGCTGTGGACAGCATTGATTTCGCTTGCAAGTATTGGCACTATCTTCACCATCCCAACCTCAAGTTGAAGGATTTGTTGAGGTCAGCGTCTACCTTGACGCCGACGATGGTGACTGATGCCAAGGCTCTGTACGACTCCTATCACCGTGAAGGAGTCAGTTCATCGGTGATCGACAAACGGGTCAGTCTTGAGATCCGTGCGATGAAAGAGATGATGGAGGAGTTGGGTGGCCAACTTCGGTGGATGAGCTCTGAGCGTCAAGTGGCTGATGGACTCACCAAGGAGTCAGCCCGAGCTCTACTTGCAGCCCGCCTTCGCCATCGCCGCATCAAGTTGACCTGGGACCCCGAGTATGTGGCTTCAAAGAAGAAGACAAAAGGAGAAAAGGCTAAGGCCATAGCAGAAACCACTGCAGCTGCACCTCATGTTCCACCACACCTTGAGGAGAATGAGACCCTTGAGGATGAACAGATTCCTGCCAATGTCAACGTCTCGGAGTACCCGGAGATCTTTTCGAACGAGGACCAGCCAAGGAATGAGGAGACTCCTGACGGTGTCTTTTGTGTCCAGAATGTGGAGCCTCTAAAGTATGTGTTCGCCATGAGCCATGGCGGCTTGCTTCGGGACACCACCTTCAAGTGTCGCATTTCGAAGGTCTTCGTGATGCTGCTGCTGGCCTCAACGCCGACCTTGACTGAGGGTCAACAGTGCGTGGCTGAAGCAGAAGAGAAAGAAAGTGAAGAGGGGCAGCTACGGCTGTGGTTGGCCATCCTGGCCATGTTGCATGTCCTTGCGATGGCCACCGTCTTCATGATCGGCCGTTGGACTGCACCTCGCCTGGTCCAGAAGAAGGAGAATGTGATCGACGCCAAAGAGGCTGAGACTCAGAAAGATGAACCCATCGTGCGTTCAAGACTTCGAGAACTACTCCAACTGGAGCAACAGCGCAGTGCAGAGGCTGCGCGATCAGCCAAAGAGTCCAGGACCGCACTGGACCTCCTGGTCGATGAAGTGGAGACCCTCCGAACCCTGGTTGGCGCGGGACACCAGCTCATCAAGCGGCTGATGTTTGAGATGGAGTGGCACAACTCCATGTGTCCTTTCTCGAACCACCACCTGATAGGACGAACGAGCATGCACAGACCATCCGACCGGAGCTCGATGCCTTTCTGGCCGCAGCATCTCCATGGGCAGTGGAGTGAACATCTCCCCCCGTGTTGAGACGCACGCTGTGCGCCATGTTTGACATGTCATGTCATGAGTTTCTTTTTCAAACCAACCATATCCCACCGTAGAGGGTGGGCTCGAGAAGCCTTTGGAAAAGGCCGCGTGTGGCGTTAAGTCGCCTTCCGCGCTTCGACCTTGTCGTTGCTTCGTGTTTTTGCTCGCCGTGGACCTCGTGCGCTACGGCTACTTCTCTACATAAGAGGATATGTTATAATCAGCTGGCTTTCAAGACACTAAATGTTACTAAACATCAATCTATATCAATCTTCTGAATGCTAGTAAGAAACGTGGCACACGTTCTGACCAGTCAGATTGATAGCGCGATTGTGTCCTTGAGTCCTGCAAAAACACGACGACTGATGGCAAAAGATCCCTTCATGTTGCAAGCTGATCCTCTCGGGCTACTGCTCCAGCCTTGACGATGTCCTCGTGTCGTCCCTCTTCGATCTCTTCCGATTCAGAGTCATCCTCTGCCTGCCACTTGAAGCAAGGCAAGGCCGTGGGAAAATGAGACTGATTCGCCAAGCCTGCTTGCCAGGTGACTGACCAGTGAAATGGGTGTAGGTTTCGTTCGTGTGTGTGTGTGACCCTTGCAATCACAGGGATCCACTTGGATTGCGCTGCTTGACCTTCTTACTTTTTCCCGAGAGCATCTGCGAAGGGTTCTTCGTAAAAAACATCTGCAGAATACATCTTCACATCTTCACCTCTGCACATTCACATACATCTTCACCTCTGCACATTCACATTCTCACCTATATCTCTGCTCATCTGCACATCTACATCTCTCCTCATCTGCTCATCTGCACATCTACATCTCTCCTCATCTTCACATCCTCACATCTACATCTCTGCTCATGCTCATCTTCACACATCTACATCTCTGCTCATGTTCACATCTGCACATGTACATCTCTGCTCATGTTCACATCTGCACATCTACATCTCTGCTCATCTTCACATCCTCACATCTACATCTCACATCTTCACCTCTCGCTCTTCTTTACTTTCTCTCTTAAGGCCGGGGGGCGGTGCCGCCGGAGCACCACGAAACGCAACCCTCTGCGGAGATCGTGCGCGTCGAGGGCGCGAAATGCAGGCGAGAGCGCGATTTGGCCCGGTCCAGCGCAACCCTCTGCGGAGATCGCGCGCGTCGAGGGCGCGAAATGCAGGCGAGCGTGCGTTTTGGCCCGGTACGGCACGACCCTCTGCGGAGATCGCGCGTGTCGAGGGCGCGAGATGCAGGCGAGAGTGCGTTTTGGATTTGGCGCGGGCAACCCTCTGCGGAGATCGCGCGTGTCGAGGGCGCGAAATGCAGGCGAGAGTGCGTTTTGACCCGGTCCGGCGCAACCCTCTGCGGAGATCGTGCGCGTCGAGGGAACGAAATGCAGGCGAGAGTGCGTTTCGGCCCGGTCGGGCGCAACCCTCTGCGGAGATCGCGCGCGTGGAGGGCGCGAAACGCAGGCGAGAGTGCGTTTTGACCCGGTCCGGCGCAACCCTCTGCGGAGATCGCGTGTGTTGAGGGCGCGAAATGGAGGCAAGCGCGTTTTGGCCCGGTCCGGCGCGACCCTCTGAGATCGTTTTGGGCGTTTTTCGGAGCTGGACTCAGAAGTGGCCAGTTTGTAGTACAAATGTAGTATGGAAGAAGAGAGCTTTTCGGAGCTGGACTCAGAAGTGGCCAGTTTGTAGTGCAAATGTAGTGCGGGAAAGAGCTTTTCGGAGCTGGACTCAGAAGTGGCCAGTTTGTAGTACAAATGTAGTACGGGAGAGAGCTTTTCGGAGCTGGACTCAGAAGTGGCCAGTTTGTAGTACAAATGTAGTACGGGAAAGAGCTTTTCGGAGCTGGACTCAGCAGTGGCCAGTTTGTAGTACAAATGTAGTGCGGGTAAGAGCCTTTCGGAGCTGGACTCAGAAGAGGGCAGTTTGTAGTACAAATGTAGTGCGGGAAACAGCGTTGTGGAGCTGGACTCAGAAGTGTTTGCTTCTAGTGTGATATGATTGCTTCTAGTGTGTGGGCAGACCGTGTGGCGAATTACGTTCGTGATGTCGCAGTGCCATGCGGATTTGCGCGGCCTTGGTGGAAAGTGCGTTTGCGTGGCGCCGTGCCACTTGGGAGCGCGAAACATGCTGGCGTAAACGCGGCGTGTCGCTGGTGAGC